TTGCAGGAAATTCGGTTTCGTTGCATTCGGACGCGATCTGATGGTGTAGATAGCGAATATCGTGTATTAAATTGCGTTACTCAGTGATTTTCATTACAATGAAATGAAAACAGCGCACTCGTCTCGTGATGGAAACATTTTATGGAATGAAACGTTAACGTATTATCAACCAGTGAAGAAGATTTCTCATTTTTCTCGAAAACGCGTTCCTCTTTGGCGTCTTCTGTCTTTGCTACTTTTTCCTGTATTTTCTTCGTAGTCATTATGATATGTCCTCTATGTTTTATGCGAGTTTCAATTAGATCTCGCTACACTCGACATTGTGTTAAACAAAAGTATTTTCCAAAATCGCTGGACCAATCAAACTCGCCCGCGAATAAATCACCTAGTACGTGACCGATGCGCTCGAAGTGAACGAGATGGATTCAAAAACGATCCGAGCATCAGCGGGTGTCGTCGTTACGACTCGATTACAGCGCAAATATAAATGACCGTTCGCGTGCGATTTAAATCGTGCCGGAATAATGAAAAAGAAACGACGCGACGCCGTGATTCCGCGGAACCCCGGGATCCGTCTTCTAATTAAATTGCAGTTAACGAGACCGTTGCGCTGCGTGTTCGATCTGTTCACCCGGTGAAGGAAACGGTTCCCGAACAGCTCGCGACGTGGATAGATAAGAAAATGGAGCTGGGAAGAGTAGCGAAGAAAAATTGATCTTTGAGTAATCGTTCGAGCTGGAATCTCGCTCAATAATGGCTAACCGTGAACGAGGTTCAATTACATTCAGACGGGATACAGTGGTTCTCAACTTTCTTTGTATCGACGATTCCGAAAGCTTCGTTCCCCGAAATCTTTAATTTACATTCGAAATCGTTAGTGAATCATCGGTGAATTCACGTTTGATTGATCGAACGAACTGTTAATTGATATTAATTGATCGGTTGAGAATCCCTGCATCTGTGCATTACACATGCGCGTAGCCGCCTACGGGCAATAGACGAACAAAAACGAAAGTCAGTCCCAACTGCGATGCCTATTAGAATATCATTGAGACTCCGAGTATCGAGTTTTCCTTTTATTTCCCGCGCGTTCCTGCCCGTCGCCCAGAAGTCGCTGAAAAATCTCAGCAGGCGCAGAAGCAATTAACGTTCGATTAGCCAGCGGCGGTTCGATCGAGTGCAGCGACCCATCGCGTTCCGCCGAGACGGCGGACCGAGTAATTTATCCTGACGTCTTCTTTTTCTCCCGGTGGGTTTCGTTTTGCTCGATCCGCGCGTAGGAGACTCCTCGACGAGCCGGGAAAGATTTCGCGGGAGACACGCGGTGGCGATACGCGAGCGGATCGATCGATCTTTCGCTGGAGCCTGTTCCCCGAAGTTTTGTTCTTCTTCCTGTCTGTCAGTAGTCGGAATCAGTTTGTTCTTTGGATTCGTTTGATTTGGGCCTTGGGTCCCTTTTGCGACAGGATACAATTATTTTAAGACACTTTCGATGGAAAGATCTTTTGTGACATACTTGAGGTTAATTAGCTAAATTCTTTTTAATTCTTATGTAGCAACATTTGCGATTATAACTTTGTTACCACAGGATGTTCACGTAGATTTTCATTTTCAAAATTTGAGAAACGAGAATGTGAGAAACGTTGTAGAAGTAAATCGAAAATAGAGTAAACGCGCAAATGTTAACGGGTAGGATCGACTCTCGTTGTCCTCTCGATCGTTTTCTCTTCGTCGGCGTTCGCCTTCGACAACGCGATTAACATTAGCAACCTGAACGAGCTTACGATACCGTTACCTCATAGATAAAATCCACGTGCCTCCTTCTTTGTCTCTCTCCTTCTTTGTTCCCCCGTTTCAGCGACACGCGATTCCGGAACGTTAATTGTTCGTCAGGCGCGAGTTTAGAACGATAAAAGCGAATTCTTCGAACGCTGAAATATTCCCAGTTAAAGTGTGTGCAATATATAGTGGGGGAACGTTTGTGTTTACCGGGAATAATAATATGTTTACTTGATCTTTATGACTAGAAATCTTATAATCGACGAAAGAAGTTGTTAATTAACCTATGAAATTAATGTACGAAAGTTTGCAGGAAAATCTATAATTTAGTAGCAAGTAACCAGATTATCAGTTTCTTTCGTGTGAAAATGATTTACTGTCTTCCGTTTGTCACGGTCATTTGAGTTTTATGATAACGGTGATGCTGCAGGGAATAGGGGATTCTCGTTATTTTCGAATGAATTTGCGAAGCTAGTCGCAAGGAACGCTGCAGACGCGACATTGAACACACGATGAACCCTAACCCCCGGGCAGAGAGTACACGGAATTATATAATGCAATTAACCGACCGCAATTATGTAAGACGGAAACAAAGACGACCTTTAGGGACGCGGTTCCGCGGTCTCCAGGCAGCTACTTTCGCCGCGGACTACCGTTTCTAAAAGGTTTGTCGGTTGTGCGGCTTCTGACAAGTGGTTGACACGTGTGCACGACGATCTCGATGGATTTTTTTTACCAGCCCCCAAGGACACGATATTAAATTAGAGGGAGACGATCGTCTCTTAGCGTGTTCAAAGGATTCAAGCTCAAGGATCCTCTAAACTGGAGGCTCAAAACTTGCAGCTTACAATGAAATGAATTCTCAGGCTCTGCGAGACAGTTTACTCGAACGCAGTATCTGGAACTGTCAATATTTACTGCTCCCAAAGATCCAAATCGTGTCAATGCTACAGCAATCGTCGAAGTGTGTTGACATATCAATTACTAATCGAATTATTATCGAGTCATTTTAACGTCAACAGCCAAACGAACGATAGCAAACGGTCCTCAGATTTCTGTCTTTCTTCGGAAGAAGCATTTTATCAGCCACTCTACGGTAACTGGCGGATTTCACCGTTGCATCGATCGTAATCTTATCGAATCGACCACGCGTTGCACGAATAAACAGATAAAAGAGAGGGAATCTCGATCGATAAAGTTGACATCTCCAGAATAAATCTCGGTGGAATTCACCGGAGAATTCTCGAAGAAGTTCGCGGAGATTGTTTCGCACGCCGGCGTACCATGGGAATCGGACTCTCCGCGCCGCTTCCAGGCGGAAGACGCGGTCGGCCAGATTCAGTTGCATAATTGACGAATTACGTAAACGACCGTCTAAACGCCGGTTCGGATTTCGTCGCGCATTTATTTACGTACGTATCCCGGGAACTCCGCGCAATTATCACTTTCTCCGCGACACGACGGAGGCCGTTTAACATTTTTCTTGCGACTCCCCCCCTCCTGTCGGTCGCTCGCGTTGCGTGTCCAGCTTGAAACTGGACCATTACTGTACTGTCGCTGAAACAAACAGCTAATGGCCCTTGTTAGAACAGCGGGTTGCCAAATAGAAACACTTTTTTAGCATCGAGAAACTGCAGTACAGGTGTAGGATTGATTTTCTTGTGATACTATTGCTAATTCCTTGTAGGATGATGAAGCTTTTAAACGCAGATAAAGACGTCTAAAGCTAACGATGATAATTACGAACTTATCTATTAAGGAAAAGGATATTATCAATATCGTGTCATTATTCAGAGATAATTGAGTGTATCATTGGAGGCGTTAAAGACTCGCACGTTATACGATTGAATACTGTAGTTTTCCTTTTCGTTTCTTGGAACGGTTGAACGATTAATCAAAATTAACGAGGGACGATTCTTCGACTTTTCAATGGAGAATCGTGTACTTAGAGACGAGTCCTAGTTATTCCGAAGCCAATGATCTCCATCAACCACGCACATTCCATTAGCTACTGAAACGTTCGTAATATTATTCCCGCAGTTGAAATCATAGTTCCCCGATTTATGGGTGGCGTACCGATCGAAATATCCCCGATCGGTCAGTGAGGAAGCTGGCAGCTCTCTAGAATATCGATAAATGTAAATACATCCGATGGATGTATATATGTGACGCTTTCCTGCGTCACGTAGTCAAGTATATTGTAAATAGTATCGCAACCCGATGGAACGGACGCGAATTCTATCCCCGTATCAAATACCGGTAGCCTTCGCTTTCGCGTGAACACGCTGTGGGAAGATGGCGTCACGTAGAATCCATAATCCGTGAAGTTCGCTGGATTATTCGAAACCAAAAATTACCGAAACACGAACCGATGATCGTATCACAGAAATAACCAGATATTTGCCAACGTTGGACCGGTCGATCTCGTTTCGGGAAGACGTTAACGTGTTCGTTCAGCGAATTTTGTGCAGATCGCAATCAGCTTTCTCGTCAATTACGCCCGCGACTTCGCTGATCAGAGCCTCGCTGGTCTAGGCTAGACGGTTCCGGGGAAACGTGTGGATAGAGCTGACGCAGGGACGCTCGAAGATTTTCAAACGTTCCGACCCAACTTTCAATTAATTACGAAAAGGTCTTACTTTCTCTATTCCGGACGACGTGTCTTGTGACTTGGCCGTTGGGAAATATTAGAATGCCCAGTATGCGACGCTCCAATACAATGTTAGTTTCTTTTATTCTGAACGTCGAGCTTCGTTATCTTCGTTTGCTAATTTATTTATGCAAATTTGCTAGTCAGAAACTATTCGATAACTCACTACTGAACAGCGCTAGCGTGACGAGCACGTTTCAACGAAAATTCATAGTCGCATTAGCGATAATTAGCGAAAATTTTCCTATTGCCGCGTATCTGTGTCAGACATGTCCGCGATAAAAAAAACTCCCATGTCAATTCAGCCTCATTTGATCGAAAAATACCACCGATCAAACTGCCATCCGACCACTGTGCCACATTCCTCAATTATTTGATCGATAACGTGCGATAACGACGAACAAATACTTCGCCGCGCGGTTATCGCACCGTGGTAATTTGTTGATTTGCTTTGCTGCCAAATCGAGCGGCGAAAAGATTCGCCCGTGATATTCTTATCGGCCACGCGAACCTCCTTCACCTTCGAACTGTCAATCCCGCGCTGGAATGTGCCAGGATGCATCGGTTGGATCCAGAAACGCCGAAACCATGTTTCACGGTCGTCCCAGTGTTCTCATGATCAGCGGTACCGGAATTCGATAATTCTATTTTTGCGTTTCGATCAATAACAGTCGCTGGAAACGTCGACGACGACGACGTTTCCCTTCGGTTTGACTTCGTTACGGTCTGGCAAGTTTAACCGAAGCTCGTCCGGCGGGGAGAGAGGGATCGATTCACTGTTGCATCGATAGTCATTCAGGCTAACCGCGGCAGCACGGCTGTGGGAAGGGTCGGTCGGTAAAAATAGGAAAGCCCGTTAAAAATATCATCTTCCGTCGAAGTTTCTCCGAGAAAAACTGATCTCAAGCGGGGAAACAATGAAAAGTCGGAAGAAAATACGCTTATCCCGCAACTTCGCCGTCGCGTCGCGTGATCCGCACTCGGGGCTGATAACTTCTCGCGCAAATGCGACGGGAATAAATAGATCGAGCGGTGTCAACGTCGAGACGGGATCTCGTCGAAAAAGTCGCTCCGTTATCTATATTACGGAGCCGGTCCAGTTCATCGGGGAATCGGTGATAGTGGAAAAATGCTTGGAAGACGGGAGGGCGAGAGGCGTGATAAGCATAAAGCACGGGGTCTTGGGGACAGAACGCGAATTTAGTCGTGAGCCTTCGTTAGCGGCCAATAACAACGCTCGTCCTTTCACGCCGGGAATTCGTATCTCGCGCAAGGTTGGTCAACTGTCTCCCCACCGGTCTGTTTTCGCGAAAGTCAGCGTAGTATCCTGTTCAGCCGCAACGTGACCAGGGAAACTCGACCGACGTTTCATCTGGGAGTGCTTTCAACCCTTTTTGTGCCGGTAATCGTTGGAACGGTTCGCTTGGGAAACCTGAAATCAATTGAACCTGTCTCTCGCGCTTGGTGTCTTTCATCGGCTAACTTTGCAACAGTGTTTAAAACTCGAGCGTTGACGTGCTTGAAATTGAAAAGACCGTTGGAGTTTAAATTCGAATCGCGGGCGCGACACTGTCCGGGTTTAAACCAGTTTAATAGACACCGGCGCATATTGCGACTAAGACGATAAGCCCGCGAGCAAACGGAGATGTTGTCTTGCTACGTGACCGCGATGCAATGCGAGTGGATGGAGAACCGTGGACGTTACAGATCGGATTCGCGGCTCAGAGCTATCGCCAGCGGGTAAATTCGGTTCCTCGACGGTGTGGCCCGCGCCGGTCCGAGATGAATAAAGCCTAGTTTCTGCTCGCAGGAACAACGTGAACGTCGAGGGAGCCACCCACAAGCAGGTGGTCGACTTGATCAAGTCCGGGGGCGACGTTCTGACGTTGACCGTCATCTCCGTGACGCCGCAGGAGGCGGAGAGATTGGAGCCTTTTGAAGATCTGAGGTACCTTATTCCAGTCGCTCGACGAATTTGTTTAGAATCGAATATTTTCCTGTTCATTATGCTTGGCAAGTTTCCATTTTAGTCTGTCCTAGAGCTGTAGTTTTAGTACCGCGATCGATCTCGGTGTATACGTTGAAGCTGGATGTAGTGGACTCACTGTGTAATTGATCTTTCTGCAGTTACGCGTCAGTGGACTACAGCGAGAAAAGGTCGCTACCTATCAGCGTGCCAGATTACCACGTACGCGAAAGGAAACACGAGCGTTACGTGGTGTTCAACGTTCACATGGCGGGCAGACATTTGTGCTCCCGGCGTTACCGAGAGTTCGCTGCTCTACACGTGGCGCTCAAGAAAGAGTTCATTGGCTTCAACTTCCCGAAACTACCCGGGAAATGGCCATTCCAGTAAGCACAGTCTGGCTTCTGCATTAAAAATTGCAACACGATAGACATCATTGAAAATCCATTGCTTTAATTCAGTATTGCAATTTCGCGGAATACGTACGTTCAACTTCTGAGACACTCTGTGCATGAATGAAATCTTATTCCTAGATTAAGCGAACAACAGCTAGACGCGAGGAGACGGGGCTTGGAACAGTACCTAGAAAAGGTGTGCGCCGTTCGAGTGATCGCCGAAAGCGACGCTATGCAGGACTTCCTGACCGACAGACTCGAAGAGGATGGCGATCAGGGGCCAGCTGTGGATCTGAAAGTATTATTACCGGACCGCGAGGTCGTCACCGTCACCGTCGCGAAAGCTGCTTCCGTGAAGGACGTGTACGACGCGGTTTGCAGTCGAGTCGGCTTGGACGCGGAGACGGCGAAATACTTCTATCTCTTCGAGATCGTCGAGTATAATTTCGGTGAGTGAATCAATAGCGAAGAGGATACGGTGTATACTGTATACCTATGAAAGTTCCATTACATTGCTCCGCTTTTCGCAGAACGGAAGCTGCAACCCCACGAGCATCCCCACACTTTGTACATTCAAAACTACTCGACCGCCAGCGCGACGTGTCTCGCGATACGGAGGTGGCTTTTCAATGTGAACCGGCCGCTCGGCGAGCAGGCGCTAACCTGGATCTTCTGGCAGACCATCGACGAGGTGAACAGGGGCCATATTACGGCCGGCGAACGGCTGTATCAGTTGAAGGCTCTGCAAGACGCGTCGAGAAAGCACGAAGTACGAGTTTCTAGTAATTCTGTTGCTGGTAATATAAAAACACTTTGAGGTCTTGAAAGGGGATGATTAATTGGTTACGGTATAATCGCAGTACCTGAAGCTGGCGAAAGAACTGAGCGGTTACGGCGATATCGTGTTCCCTCACTGTACGTGCGACTCCAGGAAGGAAGGGCACGTGGTTGCCGCGGTGGGAGCAGGAGCTTTCAAGTTGCACGCGGCAAAGGAAGACGGCACTTTGGAGTCGCAGGTTGTCGAGTTCCAATGGAACACCATCACCCGGTGGGAGATAGACGAGGAAGGAATGGCGTTCTGTTTCCAGTACACGCGCCAGGATAATCGTCCACCTCGTTGGCTCAAGGTCTTCACACCTTATGTACGTGTCTGTTTGCGAAGATTTGCATCAGCCCATTCGTTTAGCCTTTGCGTTTTTTATTTTAATGAACAAGTAGTCTCTCCGCTATTGTACAGATCGATGAGATAAGCGCGTTCTGTTCGCAGTACACGTTCCTGTCCGATTGCTTCGATCGAATAGCCGAGGAGGCGAAGTGGGACGACCCGGGCGAATGACGTAACGTCCGCCGTTAAGGACCCGTTTGGTGCATAATACGTACGCGAGGGAGGGATGCCGTGCCGTTTCATCGATGGTTTCACTTGTCTGTCTTTTGTAGCCAGATGTCACTTCGATTAGGATTACTTTTTTAAGGCGAACCCCGGAAAAGACGAGTAAGACACCACCCAAGAATCATATCAGACTCTTGTTTCGTCAGCTTCGCAACGTGTCTCGTGATTCGTTCGAGACGGTGCATCGTTCGTTACACGTATTCTAAAAGGCAACACTTAACACACACACACACACACACAAAAGAACACATACGCACTTACACGTACACATACGAACATGAACACGAAAGAAACAAATTGTACTGTAAAGGTAACAATTTTCTTTTCTAAGGACACACAAGAGAATAGCGACACACTGATTACCAGCCACAAGCAACAATGTCATCTCGTATACCTAGCTGATAAACACATCTACCGCATAGAAGAAGATCCATGGTATTAACGATCTAGTTTGACGTTGAACGAGGGAGAAAAGACATAAGAGAATTACGTTATAGTATCCAGGGTAAGGGGGTTGGCGGTATCGTGCTGAAGGATCAGCCTATAGACGACTCTAACCTTTGGCCTATCGCTCGTTACTATCGTGTTAGCGTGTGATTCATGTCCCGTGCTACGGGAAACCATGAATCTCACGGGACGTTCCTCTCTACTAGCCTAATGTATAGGTACCGCAAAGCCAACCGTTTGGTTCGTCGAGTCCGCGCGAGCGAGAAAGGGAGCCAGCTCACAGGCGACAAGTATTAACGCGATGTGGTTATAGTTTAAGGCCGTGTTTGCTTTTCCGTTCCGCACCGATCCAGCGCGAATCTAATTATCCGTTCGAGACGCGACCTCGTTCCTCGTTCGTTGTCTTCGTCCAGGCGTACGGGACGCGCGCACCGTCCTGCCGCGCGAGCTGCGTTACACAGGGACTCGAAGAACACCGCGGATTTACTTTCCTCCGGAGCTATATATTTTTACTATTACACAGCGCCAGAGACGATAGGGGATGTAGGAATCGTATGCACTCCGGTTGTAAAACCGCGACGAAGCGGTATATTCCATTCGCAACAACTCGAGGACCTTCGGAACCTCTAGCTGCGCTTGGTCGCGAGACCTTAACGAGCAGAAAGGATCAACCAACCGATGAAGAAAAGATTCCGCTGATAGGAAGATCGCGCCAGGATCCTACGCGCACTTTACGGTGGAAAGTTGATGAAGAGGCACCAGTATGAACGCCATAACGAAGAAAGAAGTAATAAATAATAATACTCAGTGACACTGTTAGGGGATGATACCGATAATAAGAAAACGAAAAATGAAGATATGAATATATGAATAATTTTAGTGTCTTTAATATCAGTGAGAGTAACTGATGGACTTTTAAAGTATCTCGGCCTGCTCGTCGTGGTTCACGGGTCGAACGGCGAATCCTTCGGAGCATGACCATTCTCTTCCCAGCCAACGTTCACGAACGATGATGGTTTCCGTTTGCTCACTTCCGGTGTTACTTTTCGAACCGTGGCCGGGAAAACCCGCGTGCCACCGACAGTCGTCGCTCGCTCCGGACGATTCGCGAGCCGGCCGGCAACGAGAGAGAGAAGAAGAAGCCTCGGCAGATAATAATTCTAGAGGATAGATGTATAACTAATCGTTAATGTTTTTAAACTTTATTCGGGATGAGTCCGTGCGTGAGCTGTATAAACACTTGAAGGGTGTCGGGTGCCGAATGAAAATTGTAACGATGTTATAAGTAGAGTATTATCGGGGGTGCGTTGCGCGGCGGACAGGCTGTAGAGAGTCGTTCCTCGCGCGGACAGCGATACCTGGACGAGCCAGGGTTAATTGGACGCGTCGATTAACGTCGCCGTGATCGGTCGATCGGTCGAACGAGGAACGCGCGCGGTGCACGACCCTCGATTCTTGTTCTGTGAATAATTCTACGGTGGGAACTGTGCAAAAGCGACGCTGCGAACTGTTGTTAACGACTGCGCGCGGCTATTGTTGATCTTTACGCTAGCGTCAAGCGTATACGAACTTGTTCCATCGGTAACATCATTTTTGGACGCTAACTTTTCCCGCGGAATATTGATAACTGCATTTATTTTTCGTTTTGTGTTATTAGTTTCCGCGAGGCGAGAACAGAATCCTTTGAAGAACGTTCGATTTCGTTGGTTGAAGAGTTGACTTCGAGTTTGAACGGTATAAGAAGTATATATCGATACTTGCGAATGCGGAAGTTACCGTCGAAGAATGATGGTGTTCATGGGATGATCTGATACGAACGTGCCGCGGTAACGTTTAGGCCCTCGGCAAGAGGCAGGGAGAAGCAGCCGTAAGATTTTCATGACTTTTTGTGATGTATTATTCCATTAATCGATGAAGTAATTACATAATTAATGAGAGAGCGCACGCGTTTTCCTGGGTTTGGGGAAAGCGAGCTAGGAGTCAACGCTAGGGAGCGGTCTCGGAACATATTTGCAGCAATAATATTTTTTGGCGAAGTTGTCGAACGTGTTGCGCCGAGTGTGTTAATTAGGTATCGTCGATAGCGTAAGAATATTTTGCCGGGATGGTGGAGGATTCGCGTGAATCGCGGTGGCGATTTAAATACGTCCAAGTTATTACTTGATTCGATGAAGTTTTGACAGCGAGGGGTGAGAAAGAGAGAGAGAGAGAGAGAGAGAGAGAGAGAGAGAGTGTGTGAGTCTCGAGAAATTTTATCGGCGTTCATTGTTCCGCGTGTATTTATTTGTGACGTGTATATTTATTGCGATCGCAAAAATCAGCCGGTCGATTTTCATCCAACGCGACGCGCGTGATATCGTTGATTATTTATTGTCGTCCAATAGTATTTTTGTAACGAGCGTAGCAAAAGCAGTAATGACGGTCGCGTCATCCGCGGCGTGCACGCAAATCGAAGGAAGGGCTGCCGGGAGAACATTGCGGCAGCCCTTCGATGAATTTTCCAAGCGATCGAGCGGTTGGATGGATTAATTATTAATTACTTCATTAATTAACCACGCTATAAACAAGTCTGTCGGGAGTTGGACGACGAAGTTAGGTAGTATAATTTAATTATTGTTACAGTAAGACCATATCATTACAGTTAAACTCCTTAGACGTTAATTAAAACTATTATGTATAATCGTAGCCCGTAATAACGAAATGCTCCAATTCATCAACTTATATCAGTTTCGCGACCGCGATCCGGCTGCGAAACTGGTATTCCGGATTAGCGACGGTACTGTTCGATTTGTTTTGCGAATCATCTTATTCAGAGTCGGGAAGAAATAAAAAGAAATGCAGAGAACATGACTCGCCGGTCTCCCGTTTTCTCTTTCGTTTTGCTTTCGTATTCTCTCTTCTTCTTTTACTTTGTTGTCAACTATTCGCTGCGTAGATCCATAAAATCTGCGAAGATCTTCCATGCCTCTCTCCACTTAGATCTCCATGAACCTGATGATAGGGTTGATCTGTCAACCCCAATTGATCACCCTTATAAAAAAAAAGAATTACATCGTAATTTGTACTGCTAAGTATACCCTAAGCATAAGAATCTCTAGACAAATGAATTTGAAAAGTAGACATTTCCCAGAAATGCCAGTTGAAAGATTTATAGACGATAGAATGAATCCCGGGCGGCCATTTTAAGTGCATCGTAACTTTAAACCTCCACAATTCACGAACGAAGGGTTTGCGGATCAAAGTTCATCTAACGTTATCTCGTTGTTACGATAAGTGGAATCGATTTACAATTTAAAAGAGCGTTTAATAGGCGAACAAAAGAATCTCCGGCTTTGTTCCCAGCTCGTGGCGCGAGTGAACAAAGCTCGCGGAACAAGTTCCATGTCCATAATTGTACTGATTTGGTATCGTGCTCGGTACACAATGTCGCTTATGTAATAAATTGTCCCGTGTGTTTTTTTATGCGTATTGTATAACAAGCTCTCGTTCCGGTGGCCAACGAATATCCTAACGACCAATGACCATTCTTCGCTGCTTTAGTCGAAGTCGATGCATTCCTCTCGAACAACCTTCTACACGGTCTCGAATGATCCCACGGAGACCGTGGACTCCTCCAGACCGCAAACCGAATCCTTGAAACATCGCAAATCTCCCGCACATAGTAGTTCAAATAGAAAAATCTAGCGACATTTCTTTGTAAAATATCGTAATGAAATTCGACAAACTTCTCATTAAATTACATGAAGCTAAGTATACTGAGGACACTCTCTTTAGTGAATACATGTGACTAGTTGAAATTCGATGGATATTCCTCACGAATTTCAGAAATATATCCTCTCGTGTTGCTTCTTTAATGCTTTATGAAGGTTTAGATATTAATTTTAGTTCTTAGAAAAATATCGAGACGATACTAAAACTGTTCAAGCGTCGCGTAGAAAAGTAGGAACCCGTCTAAGAGACCAGCCCTCGAAAAATTCTACCTTCACAAGTGTTCGCTCCAAGTTCATTTCGTTTTTCCATTATCGAAACTAATGAGTAATTAGGAAGCAACAGAAGTCCATTGAGTGCCATTCTTAGAAGTCCATTTTCTATCTAAATGTCGCTAGATTCCTCGATGCAGCTTTACTGTCTTGTAAGCCATTCTCCGTCTAAACGAACGGAGCCATCCTCTTGTCTACCGAGCAGCGAGGCGCACTAGCATCCAGCGATCCGCGTAAACACGGTTGCTCACACGCTCCGATTTGGTCACTCACGGGACTTATCGATATCGGTCGTCCGTGGGCGGAAAAGAGGGACGTATCTCTCTTCATATAGAACCGTGACGGTCTCTCGCGAGCCTGTACGGGTGTGTGCAGGCTTGTGCTTGTGTGTGCGAGCGTGGAACGCGTGCAAATCGGCGGCTCGTTACACGAACACGTTACCGATACATTGAACGCCGGCTCTCGGGAAGATATCGCTAAGTGGCCGCCGATATAAGGAACGGAGGATCAGTCTAAAACCACCTGTCTCCGAAGGTGGAGGCTCTCATCGTCTAATCTGTAGCCGCGGTGTCCGTTTCCGCCGGGGAACGAAGCCGCCCGCAGCTCGGGGCACCTCTTCTGTCCCGAATCTAGCGAGGACCATGGACAAGTTGAAACGGAAACGTAAGAAGCACGACAGCCAGAAGGTGGGTGAATCGTTAGCTCTAATCAAGATCGGCAAAGAATGGATCGCGTATGCTTCGTTGTGGTTTGGATTGAAAATGATTCGCAACAGTTGGAACTGTCGATGGTGAAATAGTGGCAAAAACTGTCGTTAGTTTTATCTAACATTAGGATAGATTAGATACTCAGTTTTCGCGTTTTTGAGTAGAAACGTTGTGCACAAGTTGGGATTTTCGCTGGTGAAAAGACGGGCGAATCTTTCGTTAGCTTGATGTAGACGCAGGATGTATACTCATTTTTCGTGGTGTTTTTGAGTAAAGATGATGTGTAGGATTTTGATGAGAAGAAGGGTGAATATTTTGTTAGTTTGATCAAGGTGTACAGTGGATTTAGCACTTTTTGTCGTATTTCTGGTTGGAAATGATTTACGAAGTATGGAGTTCTCGGCGGTGAAGAGACAAATTGGCAGATTCGAAGAGTTCGCGCGACGCGAACGTTGTTTCTCTACCTTGTTAGTTTAATTAGGATTTTTCTTTTCGACACCTTGAGTGGATGTCGTCGGTTTTTTTGTTATATAACACGACAATGTTGTTGATTTATGACCTGGTTTGTAACTAGATCGTGGAAGATGGTGAATACTCGTGGTCTTGTCAACTAATTTACGGAAACTGGAATTACGATAGAGTATCTGAATTGATAGGGATTAGATAGTGAGGAAATTTGAATTAAGTTTCTGAGCAGAGATTATGGAGATCGACAGTTAGAGTATTTTTGAGATTCACGTGTTTCTAACGAAAATGTATAGTCTTCTAATGAAACGAACCGTGTAATTTATTCTGTTTTACATGGATGACTAACTCGATTTATGAAAACATCTATTACTGTCTGCTTATTCGTAAAATCCTCGAGAAACTTTGAAATAAGATACCTAAACAGAATCTTCCAAGTTGCTAACAAAGAATGGAACATTTTTCTAAATATTTCTGTTCAGCATTCTTACGATTTATAGATCACTCTAGAATTATTAATGACAGACGCAACAAGGGCAGCATTGTCCCCGTCTATTGCGCGAAGAATTTTTATTTAATGATCAACTCGTGTGTCGGCAAAAAAGGTGCTAATAGGAGTCGCATCATATCCGACATGGAAGACCAAAACACGCTCGCATAGATGATAATTACCGAGCTATTACGTAAATAATAATCAACTTTGCTGTAGAAATATATAGAAGCGCTCTTAATTAGACCAGGAACCCCGAGCGAAGAGATCAGAGATCGCTAGGAGCGAACTGGTTCGCGTTATTCGAGGCAGACATGATTTCACTGTTTCTACGGCTCTATGATCGTTAACCCAATTTTATAGAAAACTTGGCTCATCTTTGAATGCAAACGAATCGCGTGAGCTCATCAGCGATCGTTTTCTGTCTTGTCTCGCCGCGTTCCATAAAATTCAGCGGGACCTCAACGCTTCTCGCGCGCGAAACAATGGCGTCTGCGCGAGGAACCGCTCTAAACTGTGAACTGCCACGATTCCTTCTTTGTGATCATTGTAATAAGAACTGTGCAAATTGCAAGCTTCACAGATCATTGTACAGAAATCAGATTCACAGAAAGCTATGTTTGATTTCAGTTTGAAACTCTTCAGTTGAAAAATGTCATTCAGTTAAAGTCGTTTTGCTAGAAAGAAGTGGTTAGTTATTTAGTTCAGATTAGATTAATCAATTTATTGAATCTAATTAAAAGCAGGTTTTAGTTAAGTAATAGTTACAAAGTTTCATTACTTCGCGATCGAGGAGCTCGCTTCAACGTTCGTATTCCCTGTAAATTCACGGAATCGAATAATGACGCGTGGAATTCATTTTTCTTATTAACATAACGATAGTTACAGCTACTTAATTTGCACTGAAAACATCGTGTCATGTGAGAAACTGGTTATCTGCGTCCGAAGACAATTGGACGCGCTCTCGGAGTCGATTTATCGAACCGTTGAACCTAGTATTTAGTGAATGTCGATACTTTCATCTTACATAATTTTATCAGAGATGTTTGCGCCGGTTTATTATTACAAACATTGACGCGTTGCCGTCTGGTATTCACGTTGCTACCAGTTGACCGTCAATCAGGTATATCGGAATTGCATAAAGCAAAACAAAGCTGCGTTCGCGCCGAATAGAAAGAACTCGGTGAGACACACTGAAGTCTAGATTAATGCACAGGGAAATAACAATTAACCGAGTCACGCGGACGAAGATACGAGCGAATGAAAAAAATCGAGAAGAAGAAAAGAATCGCGGCATGCAGGGGTAAGGTTCAGCAATCGAGAAACATTGTTGGTAAACCTAGGCCGACGATACAACGTCGTTATCTCCGGACATTCTAAACACGTCAGTCGAGTCCACGATCTCGTGACCGCATCCTGTGATGCATCGCTTCACGCCTTGCAGTTCAAACGCATACTTATCGAGCATTCCTCGTACCAATTAGACAGATGAAAATTTTCTATAAAAAAACGCTCGTCAAAGTAATAAAATGCATTACAAGGTAGATAAAGAAAAATCATTCGCAAATGGCACTGCGATCCTCAACGCTGAAACCCAAGGATTCCAGCTCTCAGGTACTTAAATCAAAATGAAAATAAAAACAAAGGCAATTAAAAAGAACGCAAGTCCCAGTCGCACCGATTATTGCATAACGAAACTTTTTACCTATAGATAAATCTAGATAATCCTCCTATATCGAATGGACACAGAAAACCGGTGTATGGGTCATCGCGTGTAGCTAGTCGCGCGCCGCGAACGCTTCGATATCGGCCGAGAAGATTTTCAGTCACGCGAACAATCGGCCCGTTATCGAGCGTCAACAAAGCACCCGCGCCGGCCAGGGGAAACGTTCGGCTTGTTAATCGGTCGGATTTAAGCCGGCATCGCCTTCTCACGCGGCTCTTTAATCGCTTTATTGTATGTACCGCGCTTGTTTGAGGACTCTGTTCGTTGCTCCGCCGTGCGCAAACAAGATACGGGCCCTCCGATAATGGCCGGCTCCGCCGAACCGTGTGTACGCTCCGCAAACACGCGGTAGGTGCGACAAAAAGCGGCCGCGACACACGAATTACGGCCCCGCCGGCTAATTAACGCGTCGCATGGCGAAATCTTCGATTGTCCTGAGTGGGAAGCGACCCGGCACCGCCTTTTGTCCGACTGGATTTATTGTCTTCCCGCTGGAAGCTAATCTGCTCCGCCATATTGCAACCCGACGTCGTAAATCTCGTTTCTTAATAACTTCCTTCTAATGTATGACTGGCGATAACTTCAATTAATCGATAGCCTAGTTACGCGTGGTTAAACTGTCTGTGAAAAATGCTGGATTATTTGTGACAATTACTGTCCAGGGAAAGATGATGGTAAATGGTACTGTGGTTTATTGCTTCTTGATTGTCGAGTGATCTTTAGTTGCTGTTTATTAAAAAAAAAGAAATTTAAAATAAATCAAATAGTGTTCTAGCGATAGAGTCATCGGGACCTTCCATCCTCGATGCTGAAACGCGGAAAAAATACATGACACGCTCGGTATTATCAATTTTCATTATGTAATTCGAGCAGTCCTGCGCACGTGAAACTGTCGAGTCGACTGTGCTTCGAGTGATTAATCGATTGTAAATACTATAATCTGATTAGTCGTTAATTAAATCTGCGATCGCTGTAATCGTGCTCTCGACAATTGCGAGTCATGATTCATCTGTAGATGAATTGATGATGCTAAGGAAAAAATGGAACAAAGTTTCAGAAACAATAGGTCGATGCTGTAGACATCTTTTCAGACATTCGTCAGTGTCAACGACCAATGCTGAACACTCTGTCGCAGTGGTTGTGCAATTGGCCCCCTAACTCAGAACGCAGTCCCTAATTTGTACCGTTCTAATGTGCATCACTTTCCCTTTACTAATCGCGTGAGGACAGTATTTGAAATCTTCACAGTTTTGTTTCTCACAGTTCCTTTAACCTTTTACATTCCGAAGTATTCCATTTTAATTATTCCTATGAATATTATTAATAACCAACTGGAAAAGAACAGAAGCAGTACCAGTTCATCCGTTTCTTTTAATGCAAACACTGATAGAATCATCTCAGTTTACATCTAAATCATCATTCCTTGTCTTAACACTAGAACTACCGAGCATTTAATGCGATTAATATATAATTCCCATAAAAATTGTAACAATAAATTATTTTCAATTTCTTCAGATCATTATAGTACTCACATGAAACTATTTTCAAAATCATTTCGAAGATATCAATAATTGCTAAACAAAAAAATCGGAACCACCAGTCATCTTGACTGGTACGGTAGTTCTAGTGTTTCAATCGCTGAAAAGTCACCTGCGCAGATTCTGATCCCGCGATTCGATTCCATAAAAAATTCATTCACCGTTCCGTTCGGACACAGTTCATGAAAGGTGAAATTTCCCCTGTTTGTATCTCGGTCACGCGAAACCCCGTAACTCGAGACGTGAGCGGCTCACTCGCCGCTTCCTTCCTCCGCGGCGAAGACGTTCTTTCCCATTCGTGCGAGCGTACCACGCACCGCGCGAGTAACTTTAATCAACCTTAACTGGCCAACTGCCGCGACGATGGTGTCACTCCTCCCTGTCCCCCTGACTGCTGTACACTGTCATTCTCTCTGTCCTCTTTCTTTTCACGCAGAAAGTGTTGCTCTCCATCGTCGATCCCTGGGACGTTCGAGTGGCCAGTGTCGATCCGGTCGGCTTGGCGGAGCGTCGAGGCGTCTCCTTATCGATCACGCCGCCGCAATCGAACGGTAACACCCCGCAGGAGTCGACGTCACCTGGCAGGACCGTCAGGATACCGTCGCCTTGGTACAAGCCAGCCTACACGAACGCGTCGGACACGAATTCTTTCAGCGGAACAGCTCGATCCAGCTCCAGCGAGCCTACCTGGGTGGATCCTTGGTATTCGCCCAGCAGGTAAATCTTTCCTTCGATCTAGATCATTCTCCAAGGAAGCTGGAGTTAAATATTTGCAGCTTCCAAGCCGCAGGTTGCTATTAATTGAAACTTTGGACTCTGAACTGTGGTTTCAAGAAATTTGCTGGGTAATCTAGCTGTTGAGGTGAGAATACGTGGATCATAAAGAGATTTCTGATTGGCAGTTGCGAGTGAACATTCTTAGGAAGGGATCAGGCGAGGAGCAATGATAATTATGTTTAAGTAGACGGCAGTCGAGGCACAAATTGGAGCTAAGACGTCGAGCTTAAAGTGCGTTTTAATTGTTGCCGCAGGTCTCCAGTTGAAACTGGATTCAGCTCCTCGGAGACTTCGCAGAAACCGAGCAGAAAGAAGTCGCCAGCGAGAAATTCGAAGCGTAGCTGTGGCCTCCGCAGCGATCAGACAATTCCGGACGGCAATGGATTAATCGGCTCGGGGCAGGAAATCACGTGCGATGATTTCGATCACGAGTACAAGGCCGGACCAGCCGCGAGAGTGCGTTTCGAGACCGAGGAACGGCCCAGGTAGCATTGAACAGTCTTTACAGAAGTATTTGCTACAAACTGGATTTCTAATGTTGATTTCTGAATATGTAGGAGTTCCACATGGGGTTCCCCGTTAGAGATAGACCGTGTCGATGAGAAGAATCAGTTGTACCCGTCGAAAACAGTTCCTCTGCCTACAGTTGTTGTCAGTCAGTATGGAAATGATAATTTAACGCGAGAAGAGGACAAACAGGAACTAAAGGACAGCGAAAATCTTGAAAAGGATAAGGATTGCGAGGCGACCAAGGATCCAGCCAGTCGTGGGTACTTTGAGGACAAGGAATTGGTCAACGTTGTGCAGAATCTAGTGACGTCGAGGTACTTTTCTGTTTCAATGAGAAAATAGTGTTAATGATTGAGTGCAAGGGAATCGAACATTTTGTGTGAAGATGTAATGAAAAGTACGATCGATCGTGAGACTTTCGATTGATAGTTATAATTAGTAGCTAAGATTGTAGCTGGTAGCTAACAATTTTATCACTGATTAACATTGTGACTATATATTGTGGTTTCAGGTACAGTCCCGTTCTTGGTTCGCAAAAGAGATCGAGCAGACGCACGCTATGTCGTCGATGCGAGTCGCAGAAGGAAACGGACATAGTAGGTAAGACATTTGTATTTCTTTAATTGTGACGTAATTTTTATTTAGGAATGATGGACGATAGGAGACATTTAAGTTGGGATCATAGCAAGATCTTGCGGCAACTTGGGTTTATTAGGATTGTTCGTTATCAGCCAATTGGCCAGCCACAGGACAGGTTCAGCTGGTTTGAATTTGCAACACTGAAAGAAGATGTTACATGATTAATGTTACGTGGACAATTAGTGTACACAGTGCTGGCTTACCAAAGATAAACCTTCCGCAAGGACTGAATTGATGGTCTCTTCTAAGTAATCGACTGCTGCTTCATTTTTCAAGAGAGGTTCGACTGTCACTGAGAAAGATCATTTATGAGTTAGACGTGGAACAAACGTGAACAAGAATAATTATTGACGACTTGAATAAGACAATCAAATGGCTGAACAATCAAGTTACATTGTCAGCACTCGAGTCAAGGCACAAATGACTTACGTTCTGGGAAGAAGAAGTGAATCTCCCTCTCCGCATCTTCTCTCGTGCTACTGCCATGTACAGCATTCTTAAAATCCTCGCCTCTTCTGCCATACCTCGCTCTGATGCTGTCAGGATAATACAGTCGAGCTTCTGTGACCTGGGAAAATGAAAGAACATAAATTACACTCAACGAAGGACACTGTGGAAGAGAAAGAAGTTTATAAAGTACCTTAGTCGGCCCCATAAGTAACCTCCACTCTTCCACGCCACGACGTTTCGCCAGAACGTGAACAACAATAGAACCAGACGCCATGTAAGCGACTAAGTGCGCGAAATTCAGGTGGCCATATCTGTCTGAATAAAATTCGGACACCTGTTCCGGCGTTAACTGGAGCCACCGCGTCTGATAAATCTCGAACCCTTCTTCGAAGATGCGTCGCTCAATTTGCTTCCTGAAGACGACCGCTTCCGGTTTTATAATTGCCAGAGTGCACTCGATGTCTGGCACCTCTTCGACTTCCTCTTCGCAGGCGCATGGCTCGAAGGACACCACAGGAGGCTGCCAGGGCTCGTCGTCTTCCCCAGGAAGACACTCGCACTCTTGAGGACTGACAAACTTGTACTGTCAACGATGACACGAGGATCATTTTCCATTTACAAGGAACCACTGGAGAAACTAGTTTCCTATTAAATCGCCAGACTTTTGTAACAAGTATTCACCGTTCTCGTGTCACTGGAAGAGATAGAACTAATCGAAGACACATTAGTGGCGTGACACATGGTCAATCCTAGATCAGACTGCGAGGAATCGGCCGGACACCAGTTATCTTTATCAGAAACCGCGTCGCAACTCGTTTTTCCGGTTATATCTTTTGCAGAACGGTACGACTTTGGACATTTCCTGAAGAGTGTGACAGTTTCTGGAGTTTCACGGTTGCCATCGGTGTCTTTCTTGTCAACGGGGCAGTCGCACATGTTTGATAAATTAAAAATTTACGGATATGTTCAATTTCTTTGGTATATGTAAGTCCAATTGTTAACCAGGCCCATTGTATTCGATATGTTTCGTATTTATAATCAGTGTGTTACGTTATACACTAATTATAGAGGTTATAAACCGTTTTAAACGAAGTATAGGATCAGTCTGTGGGAAATTGCCGATCAATTAACGTAAATGTTGCCTTGTTTCGAATGGGAACAAAAATATAGGCGCGAATGTTCGATTTTTCAGACGATCTGAAGCTGACGGAAGTTGACGGAAGCATTTTCGCGGCAAGTGCGACTGAACGGGGGCCGGAAGTCGTCGAGGACGAGACTAAGGAAAGATTTTTTCATTCCGCAGCAGATAGAGGATTAGTTGCGACGCGCATTCGTAAAACTAGCATCTCGATGCCGAGCAATTTGGACGAAATGGAGGACCTACGGATCGACAGGCAGAAGGTGGGCGTATTGAATAATTGAATCCCTATAAAACCACAGCACCATAATCATTATTCAAACAAAAACATTTTCTCACAATTTTTTAATCCTGTTTATATCGCATTTTCTTTTCAAAGGATATATCAAGCGTAACACATCGATTTTAGTTATATCTTCCAAATTTTTCAATTTCCAATGTCTAAACTTAAGTTTCAATTTTCAAGTTATTCGAATTCAAATCTTCAAACGATCGTCGTGTTACACTTGGCAGATACGTCATTACTTCGAGAACTATTTAAACTTCGTTGCGATTTCGTTTGAACGAAGTACCTTCGAAGGGCAATCAGATGCTGCCGTAAAATAGAGGGAACACGTTTTCCGCAGCACTCACACGAACAGTTCCCGCCAAAACCCTCTATTGTCGCGGATCAACAACAACACCGTGGGTATTCCTGACCGTGAACAATCGGCGACAGTGTGCCGCTGGTAAGGAGATTACGAGGAAACGCAGCACGGTCTCGTCGCAATTATCAGCCGGTGTTTACCGAGCGCGGAGAAGAAGTTCTGTACATATCTGAAATTAAAGTTTCATCCTCGAACGTGTTGTTACCTCGATCACGCGATTTCGGCGCCAGTTGACGCGTCAGTGAATGACATCGGTGAATCGGATTAAAGGTAGAGAGCGTCACGTGGTGATCCGTTGTGGGAGGAATTTAGAGAGGAGACCGTTGCTGTCCATGAACGACAAAGATGCGAAGGACCATAGATACAGCTCGATCTACTCGCTGGAGAGAGCGTTGTCCGGCGCCGGGAAACCGAAACTCGATGTTATTCAAGAGGTTCGTGTATGGTCTGTGGATTCCAGTTAGTGATTTCTATCATTTAGGATTTTTAGTTATTATTTATTTATGGAGAGATTTGTACAAATGCTGGAAGATATATTTGTTTGGTTGGATGAAAGGAACATAGCAGAACAGGATGAATTTTGGAGACTTCGAAAGATGAACTTCATGTACATGTTAAAAATCGTTGGTAGATTTCATATAATTCTTGAGAATTTTAAATGTACGATTGAATTTATACTTAATTTGGTGAATGAATTACTATACTGAATCCGACCTACGGCAAGAGAAATCCAGACACGTCAACGATTGCGCAACGATTATCATCAACCTGTGGATCAGCTGAGCAGCTCTATTCCACGTTCTCATGGAAGCAGTTCTGAATTCTCGAGATAATTGATCCGGTTTGCGTTAAATTCATGATACGTGAGAGGAATTGCAAGTAGGAACTGTTCTCGAGAATTCTTCAATTACAGATCATTTGGCGTGGGACTTACCACTTATTAATAGTGTCTGAACGTCAACATCTGATAGACACTTATTTTCTTTCTAAAGATTTTCAGTGCACTCGAAATGATATGAGAATTGCACCAACTTTTGTGGCATTTTGTGGACGTTTCGAGTATAATTCATCGTTAAATTGGCGCAGGGAACCGCGTCCAAGTTCACGAGGTCCGAGAGCGAGGACAGTAGCAGCGTGACGTTCAGCAACAGCGGCTCGACGCCCAATGGAAGCCCGCTTGGCTCGGAAACCGAGGAGGAGGCCAACGACGAAGAGCTTGCGAAGTGAGTAGCAACATTTCCTCATCGTTCGTGTTTCTGAATTCTGATCAACGACGTCTCGGTGACGTAGCTGCTTCGTCATCATCTATCAGCGTCGACGATGCGCTCGTCTGCATCGCGCAACACTTTGTTCGGAGTATTGTGGATCCGAGGTTTATCAGCGAGATGATTAAAGTATACACAGTAACTCGAGGTGATTAAAAGTTAGCGGATGTTACCAAGTAAAGGTCGACAAATATTCTGCGAATTCTTTATCTTCGGAAATTTCTTTGGACACTTGAAGAGCTACTATTTCAAACTTTGATTGGGAACTTGATTATGTTCCCCTGTTAAAGGGGAACTTTATATTAAAGAAAATGTTTATTTTCCTTATTTGCAATTAGATGTAGTTAACGTGTTGAAGAAACGCACTTCATTGAAAGTTGGTTCTGCAAGCGAAAATTTCAGCTTTCTCTTCTGAAAATACTTTCACTCTCGTATTCATTTTCGTGTTGCGCTGTAGGGATTTTTGTAGTAACGGATCCTACAGCTAATCGGACGAAACCAGTATTCGTGTGATGGATGAACGGTGTCCGTCAGAGGATCATCTTCTGGTTCGACCTTCTTTCTATCGCCCGAGGGTTATCGCGTGCGTAAGACCGTCGTCGCGTCGGGCTCTCTCACAATCGTGTCGCAGCACTCAGTTGCTCGTCGGTTGGTCATTAAGCGCGGCCCGCGTTTTCCTTCGATGGAGAAAAGTGCATTCAACTCTGGTATTTTGTTGCTCGACCGATCGGCGCGTTGCATCGTCGTCCCGTTTGATTTACGATGTCCGCGACTGCGTTAAGGAAACGTCCGCACTCGAGATCTTGAGCTTCCCGGTCGCTCGTCTCACTGATTCGCGTTGCACGCGTGTCGCGCGACGAGTTTTTAAATACCAGTGTTTAAATACCAACTCTCCGGACTCGCCGCTTCTATAATTGTACTGTGGATTTTATGCATTTAGGTCGTGCGTAATTTTTCTAGGCTCGGCGTAGCTGTTAGTTGAAGACAACTCTATCGGTTTTGCGTTCTGTTTAGCATGGAGACTTGAACGAATTTCTATTCAGGCTTGGTTTCTGTGAATTGGCGAGTCGTGATTTATATTTTCGTAAAATCGGTAGACTACTTAGAAACCAGTTAGTTCGGGAGCTGGAAATTAAATAACAAAATGATCCCAAGATACGACGTCGGTAGCGCTATGTCGCTGCAAAGGTACATGAGAAGCAGAATATTGCCTTCTTCTCCTAGATATTTTCGTATCGAATATACGTTTGATGGATTGGATAATCTCTTGTTCCTCTGATAACAACGATGGAATTTCAGAGTGCCGCTGCAGGCACCTCCTCGACGGAAAACTAGAACGGTGTCGCCGATGATGAACCAGAAGTTAGGGACCGATCAGCTGGAGCTGCCAGGTGCGCAGAGCGCGAACTCCACGATAACCAGCGTGAACAGCATCAGCAGTTTGCTCAAAGAGAAGCTGCAAATGTCTTTGCCGCAGGCTTTGCGCAGCAGCAAGAAGAGACAGAACGCCGACTATCGGTGAGTCGAAGATACAACGCTCGAGATACGAGACTTAATTTTTGACCAGAGATTTCAAGGAACCATCAATCATTATTCTTCGTTATCTTTTATAGGCTCCGAGCCTTCGTTGGTATACTGTTCCTCTGCGTTGTTTTTCTCGTTGGGTTCGCACACATTTATTACACACAGCATGTACTGCAGCGTGCATATTTCGACAAGTTCAGGTGAAAATATGATCTAATCGCTTGCAACGTAATCTGAAACTGAAGCTAGTAAACGAGTCGCATGACAACGTGTCTCGTCCATGAATTAACAAATGATCACAGGTTCAACAAGAACGAGAGAATGATGCACGTGTACAGTAGCACAGGGGCGGAAGTGATAGCAGCCCGATTAGGGGAGGGGATTCCACCGGACACCGGGGTCTTTCCCTGTCTGCCTCATCATCAGAAACCAGACTCGGTGTGTCTGGAATGGTTGCAACAAACGCGTCTCTATCTGGCGCATACGCGACACGAGGACATGAATTGCTACCATGTTACCTGGCAGAGTTTGAATCCGTTCCACAAGCCCACGGATTGCTTCGATTGGTCTTCGAAGAGAGGACACTGGTATGTTCGTGAAGTTAACCATTCGTATGAGAATTGAATCTAAATTTTATTTAAGCCAATTAAAAGTACTTTGTTGTCACTATTCCACTGCTAACCCTGTTACTAGTAATCCCAAAGCAAAATCGCGTCGAGCTAATCAGCTCTTGCTTCTCTCAGGTACGGTGCAGGTCAAGTGCAGAGCATGCCGTATCCCCTGGAACGCGGACGTCTCGATCTTAGCCCATTCATCACCGGTGACATCGCCAAGCATCCGTTCGGCAACGTGCTCAAACGTTACTTCCTGAACTCGAAGGGCGCGACCATCCTGGTGGACCCTGAGACGCCACTTTACGTGTCCATCAAGGCGAATAAGAGCGATGACTTCTGTCTGCAGGCTAAACACGACGCGTTCGCCTACATCAATCACCTGACCCCGTTGCCTCAACTGAACTACACAATTTGCGCAACGGATAACATGAAGAACCTCCATTCCTCCATGGCGGAGAAGTCACTGTGGGATGGACTGAAACCAGACGAGCTCCACGCTGTTCATTCCTTGCTATCTGAGCCTGTCTGGCAAATAGTGCCCACCAACGAAGCTGCCATCTACAATTATACGGAAGACGTGATCGCCTTGGGATTCTTGAGGCAGGGACACGTGTTGCTGAGCGGGGAATGGCAGCCTAGCACCGGTGACTTCATACTGGACGAAGAACGGTTCCCCTCGATGGAGGAAACGATCAACATCATTCACAGGCGAGGCTTTAGAATCGTGTTCACCATACAGCCCTTTATATCTACGGAGTCTGTGAACTTCAAGGATGCTGTGACAAACAGGCTGTTGATCTCTGAGAGGGGAAGTGATCCCAGGATACCCGCGTTAACCAGGTAGTTAAAAACCATTTAACTTTGCCAATCAAGACATTCCTTTAATTGGATTCGATTAAACCACGACGCTTTTATATTTCCAAATTTCCGTAGGTACAAGCAAGGCAATAGCGTAGGAGTCCTAGATATCACAACGAACAGAACTCTCCCTTGGCTGCAGTCCAAACTCGAGAGTCTGATCATGAAATATCACGTCGACTCGTTTTACTTGGATCTGGGCACCGCGCAGGACATGCCACACTACTACAAATGCGAGCAGCCGTTGACCAATCCGGATCATTATAAAACTCTGTTCACCAAGGCAATCCTGGGCTCTGTGCCAGTGATCGGTGTCTCAGGAGCGATTTCTCGGCCCCGAGCGCCGGTCTTTGTCTCCTTGCCTCCGTTCTCTTCCTCGTGGAGAGCTATCAAAACCGTCATCCCCACCGTCCTGACTTACGGAATGATAGGCTACCCGTTCATCATGCCTGGAGCCGTGGGCGGAGACGTATCCTTGCCTATGTCCGATAATAATCCAGACAACGACTTCGAAGTTAGTTTACCCGACAAAGAGCTGTACATCAGATGGCTGCAGATGTCCACCTTCTTGCCAGTGATTCGTTTCACCCACTTGCCTAGCAAATACTCGGACGAATCTGTCCTGGAGATAGCGAAGAAGCTGACCACTCTAAGGCAAAAGACTGTGACACCGTTGCTGAAGAAGTACGCTAAGGAGACACTGGACACTGGTCTGCCTATAATCAGACCCCTGTGGATGTTGGATCCAGCGGATCCTGCGTGTCACGTGCTCGTAGACGAGTTCTCTGTCGGCGAGGAACTGATAGTTGCCCCTGTCCTCTTTTCTGGCAGCAGGCAGAGGGAAGTTTATCTACCAGCTGGAGTCTGGAGGGACGGAATCGACGGCAGTCTCAGGAAAGGGTCTAGGTGGATCCACAATTACAGGGTAGCCGAGGACAAAGTCGCTTATTTCGTGAAAATGCCAGACAATACGAGGTTCTGAGCACTCTTGAGAACTTCTGGGAAGCAACTGTTTCATTTGATGCAGGGTTGACAGTGGGATTAGAATGGCCGAGAGTGTCTGTCAAGTATTTTATACTTTCAAGACAGAAGATGGAATCATCTACTATGATTTTCATAGAAAATGTTCGAAGATGGATAGACTATGAAGTCGCTGGGACTGTGGAAATTCTTCGGGCACGCGTGGACATGTCCGGCTAGTTGAATCGTTCAGTAGACACTGCTGGTAGTAGTTGTTAAGAGCCATGCGAATTTCGAGCACGCTAATGCACAGAAAGTATTTATTTCTTTATACTTAGGAAATATATTTATTTTACTTTACACCGTGTGTCGTTCATTCCAGCGCACATGTGTCGTCCGTAAATCGCTAGGAAAATATATTGTAGCAAAGAAATGAGTCATCTAAAAGTATGATCCGGAGAGGAAGTCCGCGTTACCGTAATACTCGAGCCTCTCATTATTCGTGCTACACGAGATCTCGATGTGGTTCGACGCGCTCGGTAATTTCCATCGGTCATGGAATGCCGGTCTCTATTTCTCTTCGTGTTGCTGTTGCTGTCGATCCTCGGCTCGTTGCTCGACCGCTGCCGCGTGCTGCTGCGGCGCGGACATCGACAGTCTGGGCGAGTACGAGTCCAAGAATTTCTGCAGGTTGCAGAGCTTGCTGCACATGTTTTGGATCCGGTTCATATGCTCCCACCGTAACATCTTCAACTGCTTCAGGCATTCGGCGTTCAGGCCGCGATGTGTGAGAAGGTCTTTCGTGGACTCCCAACAGTCACCCTGCAACGCGTGCATGATCTCTACACAAGGTTCTTGCTTCGTTAATCCACGATTCGAGTCGCTGTTCTAGAAAAGCAACGAGAACAGAGTAGAAATAATTGCGAAACGATTATTTTTTAATAAGATTGTTAGATCCGTTACCGTTTTTCAGAGATCTACGCTACGTTAGACATTTAGTACTAGATAAAGAAAATATTAATGACTGAACCTTTGGTTGATCCGTCGACGAACCAAAGTCCTGGCTAAGAGCCTCGTCGATCAAGCCAACGATCAGGTTCTTAGTAGCGCAGAGATTCAGATCACCACCAGCATAGATGTTTTTCTTTATCTCCGCTTCCCTGTCTTCCTCCTCTTCTACGATCTCGTTCTTATTCTTTGAATCTTCCTCGCCTCTGCCGACGGTATATTTCCGAACAGTAGACCGTTTGCGTGGTTTGTGCTTAATCGCATCTACGATGTCTTGGTTCGCTAAAGGCCTGTCTTTCGAGTAATCTGGAATGTTCACTCCTCTCCCAAAATTCGGCTGTAAAAATATAAAAAATGAACAGATGAAGCAATGAGACCTCGAATATCTTGATTTCTACAGATCTTACACGATTGTGAAACTTCTTCCTTGTTCTCCTATCCTCCAGATCATTCTCGACGGTTCCTGCATCCACGTTCTTCAAGGTGTCGTATCGCGACAGGTCAAACCCTAATTTAGAGTAACCTGAATCTTCATGATCAGACTTCCGCCGACAGGGAACAGTTTCATCCTCCAGTTCATCTTTCCTGCGTTGTCTAGAATTCCTCGATTCTCTCTTGTTCCTGAACTCCTCCGCTAACTATGAAAAAAGCGTTTTCTCTCAATTGAATCAAACTATTGATACGAAAAAAGAAAAGAAAATTATGCGAGGTAGATTACAGTAATAGAAAACATCCGAAGCATAGACGTGACGTTTAGCCAATTATAATGCGTCTATAATTATTAGCGGATCGAGACTCTTCTAGGAACACTGACCTAGATCTTAGTTTAGAATTACATGTAATGACTATTACTTTGTAATCGATCCAGTGATCGTAAGAGCATCCATTCTCCATGGATTGCGGATATGCGCAACAGCCGTCCATGTTGGTCAGTAAGATCTGGTCCTCGTCGTTCATCCGTTGGCACTGATGACCGCTGGACTGTTTTTTCCTCGAGTGATGATACGGGTTCGAAGTGCCGAAGCCACACGCGACTTGAATTGGCGACAACTCGTACCTCTGCGACACGCAATCGTCTAAGATCGCATCCATGTTCTTGTAACACCTGAAAAATCGTCGATTTATTCCCACGTTCCTTTCTCTGAATATTCGACAGCTGAATAGAACACGGTAAGTTGTTACTTCGGTTTCCCGCTCGAATGCTTCGTCGTCTCCATAAATTGATGACAAGAGGGGCACCGTTGCATCTGACTCTTCGGTCTCCTCTTTAGCCTGACTTCCGGCTGCAGCAGTCCTATCTCGTGCAACGAATCACAGTTGTAGCAATATGCCTGCTCCTACGAGAAACACAGCAAGATAGACGTTTCTAAAGGATCATCAGTTCGGCAAACTGACACATAAACTCTTCGGTATATCTCGGCCATGATCTCACCATTTCTATCGAACTTCCTAGCAACGTGCAGCTCCCTCGCGTCAGAATCTTTAGTAAAATACGCGCCGCGCCTCGAACCGGATAATCCGGAACCCCGTGAAGCCGGATTCAGCTTCGCTCATACTAAGTTCTAAGGAACCGATTCACCTTTCTCTGCCATCCAGTGAAACTACTCGAGAAGCCGAGCAAACGCGGAGAAGTAGACGTGTGTATCGCGTGAACCGTGAATCCGAGAAGAATCGATTCGCGTTGCTTTGTTTTCTTCAAGTTGGATTTCGAAGTAGGCTATGAGGGAAAAGAGTATGTTCCTATTTCGAACGTTATCTTTGATAAACGCGTTTTACGCGTTCAGATTAGATTATCTAAAATTCGGTATGATTACAGTTTAATATTTCAGTTCGTGCAACACTAGACGAGTTGATACAAATCTATAAAGGTCCTTTGTCTAGTTACAAAATAAAGTAGAAATAAAGCGCCTTAGAATTTCGATCAGCTAACAGCTAAAGTCTGTAAGATCGCCGTTCCTTATTTTACCCTTTTTCCTGGTGGATTGCGCAAGCTGCACGGATATTTCCGCATAAATATTCTACGCGATCAAGATCGCAGCGATTCGAACAAGGACGTTGTCTAATCCTCCGATCTATGCGACTCGCCGGCGGATTTCCACCGAAGTTACCATTCATAATTAATTGTCGCGTGACGCCCGGCGAAAATGCAAGAATGTGCGCGTTTCGCGGGTGCTCGTGTTCCAGTGAGAACGGAAACGTAAAGCGGTCTGTTTCGAAGAGTTGGAACCATGCCGAGAGTGTCGGTGAACCAGGCAAAGTCGATACCGAAAGAGAATGATTACTTCTATGGGAATGAAATATTGCCCGAGTTCCGTGCCCGACAGAATGCCACCCTGAAGGAGCTGGAATCGGTGCCAGAGGACGGGCCGAACGAAGTCGGCATGCAAACGATCAGTCCGAAGACCGAAGTTGGGAAATACTTCGTCGAGTTCTCCAGTGGTTCGACTATACACGGTCTGAATCATTTGGTGGCGCCGCACAGGCATCCTATCGAGAAGTAAATGGATTTGATTCATTAGCATTTATTAGTTCGTTTAACACTGGAACTCCCGGGCAGTGGAATTCAGTTCTTAACGTTTTTGTATAGAAACTCCAAGAGTGCTAGTGAGATTTCTATCGATGTAGTTAGCGTATCGCTAAATTAATTTCGTTAGCAATTTCTCAGGGAATCATCTGTTATCTTCGCAATAATTCCACGAAAGGGAAATCAGATTGCATCAATTCCCAAACTCACGCTGAAGATTCAGTGATCGTAGTATGGAAAAATTTAATTATCTTTAAATCCATCAATTTTCTTCGGTTATTTTCAAGATTCTTAGCTGTCCTGTTCATCGGTGGAGCACTGGTTTGCTTGATATTCCTGTCGCTCACCTTTTGGGACAGATATCAGAACAATGCTACCGTGATTGTAGTAGACACCGACGCTGAACACTTTCACATATTCAAGCCGGCAGTGTTCATCTGCCCTGTGCCGAACATAGAGCCCAGCAAATTCGCAAAAGTGTTTGAAAAGTAAGAATTGTTTTCATTCCCCGAAGAATGAATTCACGTATCTACATTGCAATCAGCAGTAATACATTGTTCCGACTTGATTACAATCTCCGTAGTCATAGCATCGAGAACACACCGGAAGCAGTGGAGTTCTTCACGTTTATAGCGAACGTTAACTACGAGAACATGTTCCAGACACCGGACTTTGATAAGGTACCGCCGAGCAAGTGGCTGAAAATCCTCCATGAAATACGAAGGGACATCCCAGCGGTCACTTTACAAGAGTCTGATCCTTACGAGGCTATCGTGATCACGGAAAGGGGTTTATGTCTCGCGATGAGAAACGCTTTCGCTGTTTACACTACGTACGAGTGAGTGTATTTTATCTACTCCCTTTGCTTCCACGATTTAATGGTTCTCATTCACTTATCATTCATTCTCGTACGAGATACTGGATGAGCAACAACTGGACCATCCTCCCTATCCCCAGGGACGTACCGTTCTACACTTACGACGACGACAAATCGCAAGAATCGTACGTCACCAAGAACGACGCTCTGGTAACCATCGCGTTTTTCGAAGTTTCGAGTTGCGTACATGCAGCAGAATTTCTTTTCTGGTCGTAGTTCGCTGTGCTCGACCCTTTCGATGTGTTGTCCTACGAAATCCCCACGAAATGGCTGCGGCCTCGTCTGCTGCAGCATCCGATCATGACGATATCCCAGATCAGAACGAACCAGGCAGTTAACAGTCTGTCGTTTTATCAGAGGAAGTGCAAATTTGTGAAAGACGGTGGATTGGACTCATGGCCAGTCTACACGATGAACATGTGCTCGATCGAGTGCAGGATGCGGGTGATCCAGGAACACTGCAACTGCCGACCGCATTTCGCTAGACCTATAGGTTTCGAAATCGATAACGAGGAACGCTTTGAGAAACTGTAGACTGACGTTAATTATCTTATCGCAGAAGGAGTCGAAATATGCAACACGCGCCAATTGCGTTGTATCGGTAACCTCACGGACCAGCTCTTCCTGCACACCAGACCGCCGCCATTTTGTAATTGTCAACCGAAGTGCCACCATATTTCGTACACATTAACCGACAACGAAATAAGCGAGCTGTAACAAATTTGACTTTTTTCGATGACAATACTCGCGTGCAAAGGACGAAGATACCGTGTGATACACAAAGTGACATTGTTTAATTGTTTCAGGGAACTTTCGACGACTTCTACGTTTCTCCCTGTGAGCCTCGTATTTCCGAAAGTCATTTTGTATCGATTGGTGCTGTTCAGCTTCAACGACTTTTTAAGTAAGTATTTATTTCAAGCCAGAGGAAACTGACAAATGAGAGACGCTGCTTTGCAGTTGCCGTCGGGGGAGCTGTAGGATTGTTTCTAGGGGCGAGTGTTCTCTCTTTTGTGGAAATCATTTACTATGCCACGATTCGTGCGTGCATTTACGCGAGACAAGCGTGTCGGAGGAACAAGAAAAGTAAGATTCCTTGATCCCTTGGATGAACAAGATATTCGTTTAACTTGAAAATAATTGGGACATCTCTGTTCCTTAAAAAATATCGTTTATTTTAAAACAAGTTGTTTCTTCCCGACAGAGAACACGATGTAAAATAAATATCATCACATACATACAACTGTACACATGCGACACGTCGCGACCGCACTATTGATTGTACACCAATTTACAAGGAGAGTGAACCGTCCATTGTCTCCTGTGAACATCTTCCGTTTTGATTTAGAGCTCTCGTGCATCGAGACAATTAACAAGACTAGCTAAAACGACGCTAAAATATCACCGAAAGGAGCTCCCGGCTCCTTCGCCGCTGCCTCGAATGTTTCCACGAATGCTTTCTTCTGAGTGTCCTTAGTCAACTAGGAAATAAAAAGAACCAATGAGAGACCAGCTTAGAAATTGCACTAATACCATAAGTACAACCGTACTACCTTGTGATAAAAATCCGAAGCAGCGATACACAGTATCTTCTTATCCTCGTATTCGTATTTCCCGATCCTCGATTGGACATACGGGAATCTGCGCCAAATATTAAGGAAGCAACTACCCAAGAACGTGGACATTGTACTGTGGTCTTGTTGAAATTACAAAAGGATACATGGCTCTCAGCCAATGGTTCGTGGACGAGCTAATGAAGAAACAGGACAAGCACCAAGTCGACATCGTCACTGGCAAGCTCTGAATGAAGTTTGGCAAACTGAACACTACCCAGTCCTGGAGCAGTTCCATTTGAGCGCAGGTGCACGCCCTCTCGCAGACCTGCGATGGATCACGTTAATATATTTTTCACTGCTTACACTGTCCACAAAAAGTATTTGATCACTACAATCGATTGAAATGAAACATGGAATAAAGCAGTTTAATCATCTATTCCCGCTAGTTTTCACCAGAAAAGCATGCTTCACCTGTTACGTGATCAAATGTTTTTCATCAGCAGTGTATACTCGTGATCGGAGATTCGAGCTCAATGGTTTTGCGTATGAAAGATGCTCTCTTTTCATTTGCTCGCGCTAAAATACAAACTTTAAATACTACGGCAGAAAGTAATCTCGGGTGAGGTTGTTGCGGCGACAGAAATTCCCCTATAACTTTCGTCAGGATCTCGGATGGCGGAAAGAAGTCACCGAGAACAGCTGACAGGACTGCGCAGAGAATCTCCACTTCCATGGTGTGTCCTCTCCTGATCTTGTCGAAAATCGCGGAGGTGCGCTCTATGGATCGGACCAGAGCTTCCGGCTCCACGTCCGGCAACGGCTCCTCTATTTCCGGTTGGTTCAGCCTGTCCGCTGCTTCCGTGTACATGCAGGTCAGCAACAGCTGCAGGGCCGGCAATGACAGCATAGGACTGGGCTGCCTCAATCGGTCTATCGCGACTTTAACTATTTGTTCCGCTACCTTTCCTATCACGCTTTTGGTGATCACCAGTCGCTCCAAACCCTGTTGATTCAGACTCTCGATTAGTTACTGAGATTACTACGTCCGCGCCTAGAGATTCGATAAATTGGAAGATGAAACAACACTTATTATTTATTGAGAATCAACGTAGAATCACTTCAACTGAAATCGATATACCTGTAGAAGAGTTTGATGCAAGCTGGACGAAATATTCTGAGAAGTCAACAAAGTGAGGACCAACTCGAGAACGGCTGGAGCTTCCGCGTCCGGTGGCGTGTCCTCTGCGTGTTCCAGCAGGAAGAATACTAGAGCCCACATCACGCCCTGATGCTCTTCGCTTTGACTCAACACACTGGGACGAAGAAGATCAATCACCGATCTCGAAAACGGCGTATTCTCGTTAGAAATTTACCTATTCGAGTCCTGCGCGTCTAAATGCTTCTGTATGTACTCTATCGCTAAGGGGTGTATAATGTTCATCGTTTCCTCGCAGTTGGTCAACACAGCGCTTTGCAGCAAATACAAAGAACCGTGAAGAGCAGCCACCCTGGCAGGCAGGAAACCAGACTTTAAATTAACGTCTACCAAACGCTTCACTTTATCTAATGTTTCAAAATCCTGGAAAACAGAAGACAAGATTACATCGGTTTCGAACTAGTTGCGAACCGTAAGAAGTCTGAAGAACGCACCAGCGGTGTCAAAACAGCAGCAGCCTTGCAGACACACACGATCAAGTACTGATGGAGAATCACGTTCTCCATGGGATGAACTTTGAAGATCTCCACGCACGTGTCCAGCATCCATTGGTACTGACCCCTCTCCACGAACAACTCCGATATAGCTAGGATGGATTTCACAGTCTCCGTGAGCAACTGCACGGGAGTATTGAATTGCGGAGACGTCCAAGACGTGTACAACTCCACCAGGAAACGCAGACAAGAGTCTAGGTCGAGGGACGAAGACATCAACGCGTCGTTCCTTCTATTCTTCAAGTTCAGAACAGAAGCGTTCAGCTTATCCTCGTACAAGTTGCACAAAGACCACAGGTAGGACACCGACAACTGGCTGTAGGAGTATTTATCCGAATTGGCAGCCCTTTCGACGTTCCCTCGATTAAAAACGTGGTCCATCCTTAAACCACCGATAATCTCCAAGTCGTTCATGCACTCGTACTTCCATGCGAGCATGTCTTGAATCGCAAAGAGCTTCTGCGAGCTGATCTTGTGCACGGCTAGCTGAGGATCCCTCGGATGATGTATCAGAGTGCTGGCCTTCGGATTCCCCGGATAAGGGAGGTACAACGTCTGCAACAATAATCTGGTGATCGCTTGCACAGCCAAGCTGCTCGCTTGTATCAACGTGGGGATCTCGTCGGAAACCACAGTCTCGTTCTGCGAGAGATTCAACACGCCCAGAAGAGCCATCCAGATTTCCTCGAACTGCAGGCGGGAGATCCAACCTAGTAGATTGATTCTATAAATAAACTGCTCGAGAATCTCCAGCTCCAGCAGAAGATTCGACTCGGAAGACAGCAAAGGAAAGTAGCAGTTCGTTGAACCGGTGCCAACCACATCCAAGTTTTGCTTCCAAACTAACGGCGGCATTAAGATGTAAGAGTTGACCAGTGGCTGACGACTGACACTTACGATCAAGTCCTCTATCGTATCGAATAAATACTGCGGAACATTCTTCGACGATCCATCCTTCTGACATTGTTCCAGCCAAGCGACCAGAGCCGCCATTCGGACGCAGGCGTGAGCGAACTCTTTGGTGTCGTCGTCCTCGAGGGCCGGCTGTAAAGCCCGAGCATCTATAACTGGCAAAGAGTCGATTGTCGTTAACAGATACTCAACGGTTCCCGTCAAGGAAGCGGCAGCGGTACAGACCCAAGAGTATTTCGCACTGTCTCCGATTATTTTACTTGGGCCAGGCTGTTTCAAGATCTCCGAGGCGCAGCTTAGCGAAAGCTCCACGTCCCTGGGCCTCAGCTTCTTCGATTTCTTTTCGTCCTTGCGGATCATCCAATGCGTCAACTCCAAACAGAGAACCGAAAACTTGGCTAGATCCTCCTCGGATTTCACGTCGGTCTTCGCCAGATTATACTTGGCCAACTTTGGCAACGTCTTCATGTACGTCTTCACGGCTGGGATCAGTTTGAACAAGATGTCCCAATAAACTGGATCATCCAGCAGTTCGTCTAATCGAATGGCGTACTTGATCTCTCTGGAGTTCGTATTTGGTTGACGAGGATTGTAGATCTGATGGGGCTTCGGCATCAGCTCAGTGACACGACGGACGTGTTCCAGCAGATTCTGTCTCGCAGCTCTGTACAACGGACTTGTCTCGAAATCGTAGTCCTTATGGTCGCGTGCTGTGTCTAACTCGAATCTTTGACACTTTTCGACGGTCGCCCGAGCTCCCAATATTATGCACGGTTTCAAGATGGTGATGTTGAACTTCTTACAAGAGAGAATATCGAGACAGTCGTCGAAATCTAGATCTTTGAGCAGTTGCGCTGCCTCGGACGGACTGTAACCTGCGTATGAGTTGCAGCATCGTAGTTTCACTTGTGACAGAAACCAACCTCGGTCTAATTGGATGTTCTTCACTGTGGATGGATTGAACGGCCTGCACTGGTCCAATTCCAATGGAGACAGATCGTAATATTGTACACCGAGTTTGTTCAACAAGCTGACAAGAGGCCCGTGCTTCTTCGCCAGCTTGGTTGCCTGCAAAGTGTCCATGATCTTGATGAAATCCTCCTTGGTCAATTGCTTCGTGACATCCGCTGCTGTGCTGGTCAGCAAAATCTCCACTCTTCGACTTGCTATCTTAGCTGCCATTCTGGACAACGCGAGATATTTAGTGGACAACAGCCTCGGAATTAAAGTCATCAACACTGCTCCACTTTGCGAATGATGCGCGCCTTCCAGACATTGCAGTAAACGCTTGACGAAGCTCGGCTGCGACAGATCCGTGCACTTGGTCGCGATTGCCTGAACGAACAAACCGCTGGCTGCCGGGTTTCTGTGTATAGCTACCGTTAACAGATCCCTAACTGGACTCTCAATAGCGTTGTTCACCGTCTCTTCAGTGTGATTTACCAGTAACCACGTCAGCGGTTCGGCATCGTTCAGGTTCTCGCACACGTAGTCGCAGAAAAGTATGTTACCGCCTTTCCTAATGATCTGAATGTTGATGTTGCTAGGACGATCGTCGGTGTTCTTCCCTTCAATGACAGGCGAGTGCACGACGTACTCTGAGCGACTAGTACCCAACACTTTCGACCAGAAAGGCATTTCGTTGTACCCTAACAGGGTCAGCAGATAGACCCACTGGCACGTGAGTGTTGGGTACCTGGCCCCGATGCTCAACATCAGATAATTCAAATCAGCTATCGGTAACTTCTCTTCCTCGGGTATGTTACGGCCTTGAATCATTTGCATGGTCGCATTCGCAACCTTGCAATGACTGCCGGACTCGAACATGTGAATGCACAGCTGCAGAAAGAACGCGAACTGCTGCAGCAGGTAGCGATTGTTCTCCAAAGAATCAGCGAAGCTGACGAAAGGATCGCTAGCCCTGTGATCGATAAGACCAAGGAACCTGTATACTTTCGACGCAACCCAACTGATCACCTTGAAGATGAATCTGGCTAAAATTCTCTCCGGTGGAACTTCAACGGGCTGGACCCCCAAGACGTGTAAAGGATCCATCGTCCTGCACCGGGATTCTGGGAGAAGGAAGGACTGCGAGAGGTCCGTCATGTTGGAGCTCAAGTCGGACAACCGGGCCAGCATTGCTTCCTCTTTCGCGCACGAGATCAACGACAACAGAACTACGTTGATCATTCCTAGCCATCGCTTCAGCTTCAAACTGGACGAATCCAACGCGTCCTCGGGTGCTACCAAGAGCACCTTCAACAAGGGATCGACTGGCCTGAACACTGTCGGCGAAATCGCGGCGAAGAGTTTCACCAAAGCGATGTGAGCCTGCTCAGACTCTACCCGCACCCTTCCAGCGGTCAACATTGGCAGCACAGTGTCCATAGTTTGTCTGGACCATCTTCTCCACTTTTCTTCGCCGTTTCCGTCACCGCTGAACCTGGACTCCGTCAGGCATAACGCCAGCAGCTCGATGATCTGGTAATACTCTGCCAAACGCAACAGCATCGAAATCAACACTTCCCTGGTGGTCTCGAGTTCTCTCTGCTCAACCGGGTTAGAGCACCCGTTTCGACACAAGAACACGTCCTCGACGACTGGCGCGAGAGCTGGTATGCAATGCGTGAGAGCCGGTTGACCGCTCGCCATCAAACCGTCGCAAAGTTGGATGATCTTCGGCACACCGATTATGGTTTTCGAGTGGTTCTTCTCGTACGACAGATGTACCAGGAAGTTGAATATCTTTGGCAGCAATTTCTCGGTCTGCTGTACGTGGCCCTCTTCGACGAACTCGAACTGCTTCAAGACGAATCCAATGAATATTCTCTCAGAATCCAACAGACAGTAATTGACCCTCAGCTGTACGAGCTGACTGAGCAGCATCAACACTTGGCACTGTAGTGGAACGCTACTCGTTACGGTGTACTGCTTCAGAGACTTTATCACCATCGGCTCGAACAGCCGAATGAAGGAGGCTATGGAAGTCTTTTGGTCGGTGGCACGAGATAAATTCTTGAAGATCGACGAGAATTTCCTGTCTCCCTCTCTGCGTAGCAGTCCTACCCACCTAAAGTACAGAATACTGCATTATGGAAAAACTGTCTTACCCGTTAGATCCGTAATCATGCTGCCTAGGGCCTAAGAAAACAGGATTATCGAAAAAGAGGGAATGTTGTACAGCGGATTGAATATAAAAGGATCTACGAACATCATAACGCAGTCCAGTGAATTGCACGTTTTACATACAACGGAATATACCCACCCTGTGTCTAGCTCGTGTTCACCCCTGCAATTGTTCCCCATAGATTTGATCGTGTCCGCCATTCGGCTCGCAGGATTTTGAAAGCAGTGATTGTAAAATCCTTTGCTATCGTCCCTTAGTATCGCGATTCGGTCCATGTTCCTCTGTCCCTCCGACTCGCTCCATTGCGCGTGCACGTTAGTGCTGCACAAACATTTCAGCAACTGCTGCACGCACTGGATGGTCGCGGTTGGCGAAAGAACGACGGTGCTCTGCAGATAGTACAGAATCTCCTCCGTGATCTGGGCAGCCTCGTTGAACGATACTATCTCGAGAATCTGAGAGAGAACATCCAACACCGCGTTCAGCAGAGATAGGTACATTTCGCTGGCATCGGATTCCAGCGTGGCCAAGTAATTTAAGTGCGCTGCCTTCAGGTTCTGGTACATTTTCATGTAATGGGGCACCGACGTAAAGGCACCCATCTGATCTTTGCCGAATTTCAAGCTACCGAATCGCTCTCCCTTCTCCTTGGTCTTTTGATCGCCGAGTACTTTCTTCTTGGGCGACAATGTTTGCGTGGACGTTAAAGTGGTCAACGTGGTCTTGGCACTTGTCTGCGACAGCTGCACTTCGTCGATGATGTGAACGTATATGTTTAATACCCTAGTAACGTGCGTTAGTAGCAATTCGAGTTGCTTGTCCTTGAATGTACCGGTAGTCTTGGACGAATCGTGCGGTTTGAAGTTGCAAAAAGCCAGGCCCGATGCCAAATTGCCAGCCAACAGAATCAAGTGTCTATGCGTGGACAAGTCCAGACTTATGGGGGAAGACGAGAGCAAAGGCAGAGCTAGGGACAATAGACCATTGCTGACAGAAGACGGCATCATGTCGCTGGTTATGCTTGGCTCGCTGATGTCCAGTCGGCTGCCATTCTTCTTGTGAGACTTCTTCAGCAATGTCTTTGGCAAAATGCAGTCCCATCCTCTGATGTAGACTGTTGTCGTGTATACGTCACTTAAAGAGAACAAAGCCTCGCAACAACCGTAGACTAAATACTTAGACGACTGGACTCCGAGAATTTCTGCTAACATATTCACTATAATGGACAGGGAATATTCTATATTCGGATGATAGTGCGTTCCGTTACGAAAATTTAACGATGCGAACGGCTGTATCGCTGTCTTGACGAACAACTTTTGTTTCTCTTGACAGGATGACAGTTCTAAGCTGCTTCCGCTTACGGTGCTTAACAGCTGTTCAGTGTACTGCACAGCTTTTCTTGTAACAACATCCTCTTGCGGCTGTTGAAAGTATAATAACGGGATACACCTAGAAAATTGATATTAGCGACAGACTAAAGGGGATTCAACAGAGAAAGAATTTGAAGGATTTCGGATATCTTACTTCACGATGGCATCAGATGCCGCGTGTCTAATTCTCTGGTCCTGATCACCTAACAACGTTATGATAACATTTATAAAGTGTTCCTGGAACATCGATCCACCAGTTATATGCGCTATAGTAACATACGATATCTCACTCAACAGTTCTACTAATTTAACTTTGACCAGAAAATATGGATTCTTTACTAGTTGAGGTAACGTAGTTAACACGGTAACTCCATAATGATTGTCGACGGATTCTAACAATTCCGGCAGACATAAACTAAGCGCCATTAGTGTTTGTCGACATGTCGTGGCAGAATCATCCTCTAATCCCTATTTTAAAAAGCATCAATCAACCTTCTCCGAATGATTTGACGGTTACTAAAATGTTTTAGCACAAGCGGTTTGTCCTTTACCTCTAGGAGTAACTTCACCAAATTCTCTAACGACACGCTCCCGTAGCTTTTCGTTTTCGCGATTTCTGCCTCGAAGCTTTTAAACGATCCGCCGTATTGCGTGAACACGGATTTTAAGAAAGTGCCAATAATCATTGATATATTACCCCTAATTTGAGGATCTGGATGATTTGCAAACAATAAGATATCTGTTATCGTTTGTTCGTTCTCGATGGAATTACTCGATTCTTTGGCAACAGGCATTAAGAACAGATTCGGGCAAAGTTTTAAGATATAAGCAAGGCAGTTTAGAGCAAGTGATTTTACACTAACGCGAAAGTATTTATCTGGCATCACGTGGCCAACGTTGCCGGTTAACAGAAATGACGACACCAAATAACGACTGCAAAATTTTAGGGGTATGTCGGGATCGGTGAAAGTTCCAATATCTATTTCTCGCAACGAGAAATCCAAAGAGAGCTTCTTAGGAGAGGAAATAGACGATGCAATGTCCTCCGAGAAATCTAGTTCTTTCGTTTCGCTCTGTGAAACTGGATAAACTTTCTCTGATTTTTCTAGTTCACTTCCGACCTCGCTGCCTTCCTCGATAGTGCCATCTGCAATAAATATTATTGTAAAGAATATTTGTTCGCCGCGATAAACGTGCACGTGAAACGTAGTGTAACAGGTTTTCCTCTTACTGTCGATAAGACCAATCTTCAAGCCACTGTAATTTTCCATTTCCTTTCCTTTCATCTCTATGATATCGTTCGTATATTCCTTCTGAGTTTGCAAGTTCTGTGCTAGTGCGGGGGCAGTGTCAGAATCTAACATCCATTTTTCTATCTTTGGATTTATTTCTGGCATATCAGAGTCAAGTAAATTTAAAGCAGATTCCGAATGTTGTCCACAAGCTGTAGTAGTACTCGAACTACTCATTTGACTTAGGGATAACATTGTATCGTTTTGATTCAATACTATTCTAGTGGATGTTATACCTTGATTTGATAATAATGAAGATACTAATGATTTTGAAGGTGACTTTAAGAGTTGAATTAAGGTTTCCAAAGCAGCGTTTACAACGTTATGATCAGAATGCCATTTTGCATAATGCAAACATAGCTCATAGATTTGTAACAAGCTATCTATCTGTACGATTTCATCGTCTTGAAGCTCTATAGGATTACATACGTGTGGTAAAATTATTTTTATACAGCCAAATATGCCAATAATAGTAGCTACACCACCCCCATCCTCATTTATAGGCACTATAATACCTAAGAGATATTTTAATACATAATTTAAAAAATATTGCGGCTTCCTGCAATTTAAACACGTCGCTAGAATCATATTTGCAGCGGCCCTACGAAATACTGCTTGTACTGAAGATACATTTTCAAAGAATGCTTTCAATAAAGTCTGGAAAATGTAAAGGTGAATCAGTTTAGAGTTATAGGATAGAAACAGCTACTTCTAAATATTACCTTAACATCGTTGTCTGTCATAAATGGCCCCAGAGCTTTCATAATTAAAGGTATTGATTGAGATAATGTTTCAATTACAGCTTCCTCAGAACGATGAGCAATAGCTACTATACACGGTATTAGATTGGATACATATGCCTTTCCTCTAGTTGGACGAATCATATGACTAAGAAGCCCAAATCTCCAAAGAGCGGCTCTTAATGTCCTAGCTGGTCCATTCTTTTTAATTTCATTGTAAAGTTCTATTTGCACTTTGACAATATTACTATCAGTCATGGCCTAGTAAATAATAAAACTATTAGAATCTTTCAATGCCCAATGATGAGTCACGTAAAGTAGAAATGTCATACCCGTATGATCTTATTCAAAGTTTCATCTGCTATCATTCTGACATCAGATTCATCATCATTGCACAGTGTTAATAATGTTTCAATTGAAAGACTAAGAACCTGAGGAAATTTGGCTGCCAATTTGACACTTGGTGAACATATTCCTTCTGCTATGGTCATGCAACATGCTATCTTATCTTTCCTTTAATTACAAAAAAAAATTGTTGATAATTCCAATTGTTATCGCACGAACGAAAAGGGAAAAAATATTTTGTGTACCTTGCACTCGAATCTGACGGAAGAACGTTCGATTCTTGAGTTGTTTTTAAAGCCTCTATGGCTTTCAATACGTTGCTTAAGGATGTCATTTCTGTTAAAATATATTATAATCGATTCGTTCTTCACTTTCGACAAATTAAATTTTTGACAAATGACATTTTGATAATGTAGGCCGAATTTATGACAGACATATCGTAAGTGCAAAGCTACATGCTGTTCGGTACCATATTTATTTGTGATTCAAACGTAAAGATGCAGGCACAATTCACAGTAGCTGCTCTATTCATCGGAAAGAACAAGGCGTAGCAAGCTTAGTCGCTTATTGCGGATTCGCCATTATGTCGAAAACAAATAAGTGGTCGTTCAGTATACATATCTAAATATTAACCTTATCCGCTTGCATCTCTGAAGGAGAAATAGATAAAGTGTATGAATTATAATTGTTTTTCTGTTCAAATACGTTTAATCTTTATGAATTTATTTAATATTTTTTCGACGTTAAAAATACTGGAGAACAACTTGTGTTACAATTCGTTTAAAGGAAAATATTCTCTGTATTCGATAAATAAATTTTTAAGAAACGCTTAGGTTGTTCGACCAATTAGTTTTTTCTTAGGGGTGGTTATAGAAAATTAGAAGACAATTATTAAAATACTTCGTTTTGAACTACATAATAATACGACGGGTGCATGCAAGCAAAATCCAAACATTATATTGTCTAAACTATAAATGCAATGAACATTATATATAGTATACAGGGTGTTTCAGTCATCCCGTCATCGCAAAAACTGTGGTCAAATATGATTTTTAGTATATGCGTTATAAATGGAAAAAACTTGATAGAACTTGTACATTAACATGAATAACTAACTTTTGTAATTCCTTTGGAAACAAGTAAAAGTATGTACCAAAGTATTTCCCCCTTAAATACTTAAACTTGATCAAGGGAGATGAAACATCCTGTATGAGATTGTACGATTAGAACGTTAAGAATGGTATGTAAGGGTTGTAAACGGTAAATAGGCAATGAGATTAATGACAAAAGAATACCATAGGATCAGTAATGTTAACAAGAATATATTTAGCAAAATATAATAAAAAAACGGAAAAGTTAACCTATGTTCGCTCCTGGGAGCGGCCATATTCTACCAAAATAGATAAGTCGATTACGCAGGGAACTCGAAATTATCTCGAAACCTGTATGCTATTGTCAGTGGTGGAATAAGTTGTACAATCGTGCGCGTCTGACTTTTTGTTTTTTCAAATTTTTCGGTTAGGCCAAATTCATTAGCAAATCTATTAGCCAGGCACTGCCAATGAGTATCGTACCAGCAGATTTAGCCGTTTTTATTTCTGAGAATGGACTCCCAATAAAGCCGATGGCTGAGAGGTGAGCGAGTTTCGGCTTCTTTCGCATCGCACGCTGTCGATTGGACGGTGCATTGGTACAGTGCGAGGAAGATATTGTTTTCCTTGGCCAACAATTGAACAAAGTATTCGAAGAGTGGTTCAAATAATTCGCTAATAGAACGCGTGCGTGCAACGTATTATACAGGTTGCAAAACCAGAGTTTTTACAATGTTTTGCATACAGTCCGTTAATCTGTTTCAATCTTTTTTTAACTTAAGAACAATCGTATGGGCACAGGAACAAAGGTTCGGTTTACATAAAAAATTTATTCTTGAATATGCTTTTATACATTTCGTTTAGTCTGTCTGTATTGTTTATTTTACGATATGTGAAGTAAAGTTTATTTCTTTAATTCTCTTCAATGTATTTGATTTTATTTTTTTTTACGTTGTTGGCATACATATGTTCAACATGATATGCTGATTATTTAAAAATTAATGAAGCAGTAGTTAGAATGTTCAATTAATTCTTGACTGCATTCTTTTGCATTATATAGCAATGTATTTACTATAAATATAGGGTTAAGTTTCTAAAAGCGGAAACATTGTCTTCAATTAATTTGCAGATTCCAATATAGCTTCTGGATGTATAAATATGCCAGGCTGTGCAGCAGTTGGCTGCAATAATCGTAGTGAAAAGGGATATATTATGAAATGTTTTCCACGTGATCCTAAACTCAGGAAAATTTGGCAAGAACGCGTGGCTAGAGCTGATTGGGAACCATCAAATAATTCTTTCCTTTGTCACGTACATTTTGAACCACAGGAATGGTCTATTACCCAAACTGGAAGAATTAGATTAAGGAAGAACGCTGTACCATCTATATTTACTGTAACATCCACCAGGAAATCACCTAAAAAAAAGACAAAGATAATCAATATTAAAGAAGAAAATTTTTCACAAAGTGAATACAGTGCAGAATACATGGAGATTGACACTGAACATTCGTCCACTGGACACTTGGAAGAGAAGGACTCTGATTCCCAAGATGTTTGTGAATCATCTACACAGTCCAATGAAAATATATTGAAAGATGCTTCCAAGCCCATAGAAGAAACTAAAGAGAAAGAAGAAAGTATTAATTCTGAAGTTAATAATAAAAGTGCAATCATGATTGCTGAAGATAATCTGACAGACATTAGCGATGCTGTAAAGCAAAATAGTCCTAAAGCAAAAGTAAACGATGATAATCTAGAATCTCCATTACCAAGTACCATTGTGAAGAAGGAGGTGAAATTAGAAGTTATGGATCACAACACATTTGAGGATAGTTATGATGAAATTGAAGAGAAGTTGAAACAAATATGTGATGGTGGTTCTACTGAAGATGAAAATTATAAGAACAAGCAGAAAAATAAGAGTCAGAAAGAAGAAGAAAATACAGAAATAATAGATATAAACTGTGACCGTAACAACGATGAACATAAGGTTGCCGTACCTGTTAATGGAAGTCATAATATTCAACCAAAAAGTGAAGTTGCACATACCACTGCAGAGAAAGAAGAAAATGTCGAAATAATCTTTGGCATTGAAAGTGGAGATGAAAAAGTGTCTGGATCTCAAATGACATCAAAAGTAAATAAATTAAACGATAATTCTTTAGAATATAATGAAGCAATTACTATTAAGGATGAGAAAAAAGTGTTCAATGAGGATATAGAGGAAAATTTTACTAAGGATGAAGTACATGTTATACCAAATATAAGAGCTGCCATGAAACGCAAGAGAAGAACTAGAGAAGAGATCATGAAGTCAATAAAAAAATCAATTAGGAGTACATCTGATGCAGACATTAATACTTCTAGCAATAGTGAATTATCAGACATAGAAATGAAAAATGAATCATCAGTGTTCTCACAAGCAATTAAGAATATCGATAAAACAAATGATACAGAGATTGAAACAGCTAAATTTGTTATAAAAGTAACTGGTGATCCTGATGATGTAAGTGAAATTATTGAAGAATTATCATCTAGTACATTAGAAGCCCAAAAATTCAATACTCTTTATAAAAATGAAGGAAATAGTTCATTTGTTACATCTGTTATAACGGTGTTATCACCTAAAAATCCTACAGAAATAGCATATAGTAACCTTAGTAGTCCAGTAACAAAGGATGACTATATAGCTGTGAGCAGAAATGAGGCAGCTGTAGATCATCCTCCATGTGATGGACCTGAATTTGTAAGTTTAGATTTAGCAAATAGTTCTAAAAAGAGTCATCCCGGTTCTGAAGAGGAGAATAAAAGTCAAATGCAAACTAAGTGTACAGTACAGAGTCCTACAACCAACACTGAAGCTTCTTCTCAAGTGAAGAATGATAAATGTTGTACATCTCCTAACTGTGATGATCTATTAGACAGAATACAAATTCAAGAAGATGTAATCGGAAAATTGATCGATCAACTGATCATCTATAAAGAAATAGAGAACAGTATGAGGAATAAAAATGTTGGTCAAGACATTCAGGCTAAGGAACATGAAACAACTCCCAGGATTCTTACAAGGTCGAGCAATACACAGTCTCCAGCACTCACTAAAAAAGTGTTGGAATCCAAACAGAGACTGATAGAAGATTTATCTAATAGAGTAAATTACTTCGAAGAAATGAATAAAAAACTGATGAAGACTGTAACATTGGAGTCACAACAGAAGAGAAAACTCGAGGGACAAATCAGGCAGAAAGACAATAGGATCAAGGAACTTAATTGGAAACTAGAGAAGGCTTCCAAATATCTTGAAAGAGCAGAGAAAAACACAAACACGTATAGAAGAAAAATGTTAAACATGCAGACTATTATGAGAAGAAGAAAACTGTTGGATGAAAAAATGACAAAGTTCAATGAAATGTTAATTGATAGTTCTAGACAGGAATTTTCGGAAAAGGCTTTAACCATGGCAGCAGATATTAGAAAAACTTGTGGAAGAATTGGCTATGATAAATTACTTTCTTATGGCTTTCCTTTACCGCCGTTACCGGCTTTGAGAAAGGGAGTTCTTAATGAAGATGTAACAGATCAAACTAAGAGTGATGTAGAGAAATCAACGAACTCTGGTTCAAAGTTGAACATTAAAGCAGAGAATGCACAGAATATAAGTGACGAGTGTGAAGCAGATGGGAAGGATGCACAAGTTCCTGACTCAACTGCTAAAACAGGTGAATTGGATGGGGCAGAGACTGTAACAGGAACTGTACAAGATATTTTCGAAGAAAATAATGATGGTGATGACTTTAGTACAAATGAATTAAGAGAACATTTTATTCTGCAGTTGAATGCAGTTATGTAGCCATGGTACTATAGCTTAAGAATAGCTGTCTTTTTTACCATTTTAGAATTGAAAAACGTAATAGTAAAATCATGAATATTTAGATAGGTTTTCTTCTGTCATTGTATAATATCCATTATGCACCTAATTATATTTATTGTACAATATCAATTGTACAATAACGATTGTACAATATCAATTATATTTATTGTACAATACCATTTCATGCTGTCGCTGATAATGTAAATATATGTATAAACATTATATGTGTAATATAAAATATTACTTCACTGCTAAATTACGATATTGAATCATTGTGCATAAATGCTTCGGTGCATTTTACGAACAACAATCGATTATTTCATTAAACATGTTTGCTACAAATTTATCTAAACGAGAAGTTGCTTTGTTTGCATTTGTTACATACATAAAGTATAAGAAAAACTTTGAAGTAGATACATTTAATTATATACATATATATTTTTTAATACAATTTTTATCGGTATAATTACAATCCAGTGGCAGACTTGTTATTATTGACCTTTTTCTTCTCTTTTGATTTTCCGTCTTTAGAGCCCATTACCTTATCACATTCGCACCAAGGTGTACTTAACTTATCACACATTAGAGAAATATTAAGGACGGTTAATGGAGTGTCCCCGATAGTCATTTTAATTGTACTTAATAACTTATACGAGACATTGTTTAAGCCGGTCTGGCGATCCCTTTTCCGAGTAACTTCTCGTTGGTTATAGCACTTGATCATATCTCGTTTTCTGTGGTTTCTGTCGTGTATGTGTCTGTAATGATTATGATTGTTGTAGTTTGTCAATTTACGGTAACACGATTATACATATTGGGGATACAGAAGTTTTTTTAATTTATCTTACTTAAACGTATTGTGTGTTCCAGTAGACACATTTTGTGGTCTTGTAACTATTAAACCGGCTTCTTTTAATCTAACATAGAACTCGTCATCTTCAAGACCCCATCCCCAATATTTATTAGACATTCCATTTACTTGTATAAAATGTTCTCTGTAAAAATACCTTGTTGTTACTGTATTGACTCGAAGATTCAATGTAGGACAAGAGCTTTTGCAATAATAACCTTTTAATAAGTAATATGCCTCCAACAAATGTTGGATAATGGTATCTAGGATGTAATTCCGGAGAAGATACATGGTAAGGCCCCTTGGTGGGGAAAGAGTATAACAATTCATCGTTTACAGGCAATAAATCTACATCATGCATGGCTACATAGTCAAATTCCTTGTTAACTTCAAGGAAGCCTACATTTATAAGAGAGGCCCTATTAAATCTAAACCTATCAACCTAGAGGAATATGAAAGTATCGTTATTGAGGTCAAGGCAGTTGTCTTCAATGTATTTTTAGTAATATAGAAACAATGAACCACCTGATTTAATATGAATATATGATAATCTATATTTTGTTTATCTAAAAACTTTTTCATATGAGGAGCAAATATTAGTAGCTCTTCGAAACGATCTCTAAATGGCACAAGTATAGCTAACCGATGTAATGACTTTCTATGATTTTTATCACCATTGTTTTCCTGTTTATGATTACTGTACTGACTCTGTTGGATAGGTATTTCACACTTGCATTCGTCTGAAATTGCAAGTCTCCTATATTCTTTTTCTTTTCTTTTTTTTCTTTTTGTGCATCTTTCAATCAATGTCGAAAGTATCAAAGAGAGTAATATCTTACCTATGCTTATTGGAGCAATACTTATCAAGCAGGAAATGACAAATGTAATCAGAATACAAGCAAATATATATTTGAATTTGATACTTTTCCAGACAACTTCCATACCGAATAATGTGTCCTTAATCCGAGGGTGTGTAACAATAAATTTCCATTCTGGTAAAATTACCAACCGTCCGATATCGTCTTTATTCTCATTTACTATCAATTTTGATGAACGAAATTAGTGCAGGGCGCATATCGCAGTTCCTCGTTTTAAAGCTACCGCCGCATGCCTCGTACTCGTTAGCCCGTAATATTATATACGTGAACAAGATAGTCGTGACATAATACACTTGGTTCTCACATACTTTTGCCAAGCTATATCAATCGTTGACTAACAGCACTTTTCCTCATTTGCCAAATACCCTTCGGTCAATGGACCGAGGGAGATGCGTTCCCAGCATCGAGTACACATATTTTCTAACTGACTATATACATAATTATGGCACACTGTCGAGTTTAATCGGTGCATCGTCGACCTTCGCACGGTCGAATGAAAATTACTTTTATACCATGATAATTCCGATCGAAAATTCTACTTCAAGAAATAACTGTGACATTCGCTATGTTGCTTGCCTTATAGCATAGTGGTATCATAGAATGTGAAACTGAGTGCCCAAATATTAATCGTAACGAGAGTTCTTTCTAGTACTACCATTATCTATGGTCAATTCACAGCACCAAACTAGTTTATTTCTCACAGAATTTTAATTAATTCCATTAGTAAATACATTCTCGAGACATTACTAGACATTTATAAAAATTCGATCCCCAGTAAGGTCATCAAAGTTATGATTTGTATGAAAAATGCCTCCCACCATCTTCCATCGAACACGTCCTTAATTCGAGAGCGTCTAACAATAAATTTCCACTCTGGTAAAATCACCAACCATCCGGTAGTGCCTTTATTCTCATTCACGATCAATTTAATGAATGAAATCGGTGCAGGGTGCATCGCAGTTCCTCGGTTTAAATCTACCGCCGCATGTCTCGACCGAAATTCCTTACTTTTGCCTTGCAAACTGCTACGACCAACAGTATTAATTTCAAACAGCCAATTCCTGCGACTCTCTCTTTCGTCTAAACGCATAGTTCCTTCATTTTGTCGTTGATGGCACCACCCCTATCTTTTCACCGCGGAGTAAGTGAAAAACGACAAGCTAGACATTTAGTCACCTATATAGAACTTCAGTCAACTTGAACTTCCTTGAAATAAGTCTCTCCTCGTCGAATAATAAAAATAATCGTGTACACGTTCGAAAGAGCAAACAATTGTTATCCATGACCCGGCTTAACACTAGAACTACGTACCAGTCAAAATGACTGGTTTCGATTTTTTGAATATTCGAAATGATTTTGAAAATAAATAGTTTCACTAGAGTACTATAACAAATGTCTGAAGAAACTGAAAATAATCTATTGTTACGACTTTTATAGGAATTGCATATTAATCGTATTAAATACTCGGTAGTTCTAGTGTCAACGGTGTCGATGAATTCATATTTGGCGGGGATAAAAATTGACGTGCCGCGGAGCCACTCGACAATGTCGCGTGAATGACGCCATCTGTGGAACTCTGGGTCGCGTAGTCACGGGTAGAGGGCAAAGCAGCTCGCAGCAGAGAGGCATCGCCCTAGATAACGGTAGAATCGTGGGCTGGTGTGGTGCTGGTTTTTTGCGAGAGTGCTGCGAAATCGAGGGGATAACGTATTCGCGGATCGTCCCGGCGTATCAGAGAACCGTTCCTGGGACCGTAGTTGTTCCGGTGGGTGTGTGATTCGGCTGCGTTTAGGCCAGTGAGTAATCGGCTGCTTCTTCGAGGCGAGCCAAGAAGTCGAGGACCGTGCCCCGAAAAGCTTCGGTGCACTCGCGGCGCGCCGCGCGAGACTCTCGGCTAGTGCGGAATTTCTCGGCCAGTGACACGTTCGTGGTTCGTTCTTTCGGTCCCTGGCTTCGTAGACCGAGCACGAAGCGTCCACGGATCCTCCCCTTGGCTCTCGATGTGTCCGACAGGCCGACGGGACGACGAACCGTGAACAGAAGTAGGAAACGAGTAATCGGCCGGAGAATCTCTGTAGATTGGGATACGGTGGGCCGTGGACAAGGACGACGAAAGAGGGACAGAGAAGGAGGGGAGACAGAGAGAGAGACGACACAGGCACACGGACATAGTGAACGAAGGAGTGCGCGAGGAAGAAAGGGAGAGACGGAAATAGTGCGACACAGAGGGCCGTTAGAGAAGAAGAGGATACCGATAACCGAGGACGCTGAACGGATTCGGGGAATATTTCGAAGACGCTCAAGGTAAGGGGGAAATCCGATGTCTCCTCTATAGGGATATATGCGGTTTCTAAAAAAAGATACACACACCGCACCACAACCCCCCGCGTGAGGTCTTTGTGGCGTGGCACACGCCAGGCAAACGCCGCCGGAAATCATGCACGGTGGCCGCCCGCGCGTTTTTCTCAGGCGGTGCCCCCCGAACCATACACTCTCTCTCTCTCTCTCTCTGTGCTTTTCTTAATTAGACACAATCCCGCCAGCTGAATCGCACGCACGATTTTCTTCTGTATCGACGAACCCCTTAGACGCCGGGACCGTTCACGTTGGTCGGTCTGTTGTGTGTACCCCGCGTCACGCATGCCGGTTTCTCGTGTCAAATGGTGTCCTCTGGATGCCTCCTAAAGGGACCAGGTTCACCGTACAGGTTAGGTTCGATTATCTCGACAGATCGACTTATCGGCCAGTTTAGATAAAACGGTCGTTACGTTCGCGCGAAAACCAGCGAGCCACACCGGCTAGGACGAACATTCGGGAAAATTATGTTTTTCTTTTTTTCGTTTCTCTATGTACTTTCTCGTGTTGTGTGTATTCGTTTTGTGGAAGCAATTCTTTGTTCGATTGTATCGCTTTCGAGGTGGAAGATTGAGCATTGGGATTGAGGGTATTAACGGATTAATTCGATGTTCTTTTGTAACGAGATTATGTCATCGACGAACGAACGCTGATGATGTACGTCTTCTCTCTGATTAACAAGTTAGGTTAAGTGTTGTATTTTTTGAGAAACTGGAGATCATTCTTCTGGATTTCGTTTGCATGCGAGCGAATATACTAATTGGTGCTTATTCGCGTCAGTGTGTTAAACAGACTGTGTGAATGTTTATGTAATGTTCGGTTTTTAAATGTAAATTCTTGAAGATGAACGTTGAAGCTCATCTTTTCAAGCAGTTCCACTGTGATTCGGTGTATAGACGGGATTAATGGAATATTACTGCAGCAGTTGTTTAAGTGTGCTTCGTCTTGTTATTTTGCTATTTTGTTTAGCAATGAAAATAGAATGCAGTAACTGTTGGTTCTTTACTTTATTTATCACGCTGCTCGATTATTCTCGAGGCGTTAATGTTATATTCGAGGAAGGTTTAATATCGTTTGCGGGAAATGTACAGTATCGATTAAGCATATTCCTTCTGTTATTTTGTTTGATATGTTTTCCATTGTGCGAGGAACACAAGGACATTATGAAACAATGTGATACGTACTTTGAATAGTGGATAGGTTAATCTAGGCTCAAGTCTGGTACATTGTAATCGAATTGAAAATATGGGAGTATTTTCTAGACGCACAATCTGTGTCTCATGCTCTATTGTACTGCAAAGGGCTTGAATCGGTGCTTTGTTTTATTACGATTGAGGACATCAGACCTTAGACAGCGCATTAAGCTAATTGTAGATGATCAACTCATTGGGGATTGTTCGTTTCAATACAAACTTGCCTTTCAACAATGAAATTCTCATCCTAGAGAATTACTATATAACCTGTCTGCTATATTTGTAGACATCTTTTTATAACAAAAATAGACCTCATCCCTGTAAAGCTCCTTTTCAAAGAGAAGGGATTCGAAAATAAAGAGAAAAAAGATTATCAAAATCGCCCGTGCAATTTCCAAGCTAAAAGCATGCGAAGGCAAAATGAAAACTACAACATTACACAGGAGCGCGTTAAAGATTATAACGCTAATTGCATCACGCGCGAGGAGCTTATGTTTAAATTCATTTTTTATGCACGCAAGCTTGCCCGAAAAAAAATGTTCATTACCCAGCTCTCGGCATGTACCGGAGATGTTCTAGTTCCTCCGTTTAGTTCTTTTTTCTAGTTTTCCTCGCGCGCGCGCGCAAACAAAAAAGAAAGAAATATGCTTCTTTTGTTTCATTTTTTTTAATCACTTTCATCCGTACCCGTTCCCTCGAGCTTCGTTTTCATTGCAAAAAA